TGTGACGTACTGATGTTAGTACTTCTACTTCTTGACTCTTAATGAAGACAAGATACAGGCAGTGATTTTTGGCAGATCCACTGTAGATTCCCTGACTAATCTTTGCTCTCTGGCCCAGTATGTCAAGTGGGTTATTATAAATTTAGGGGTCAAGACAGATGCTGGTCTTAAGCTGGAAGCACAGATTAGAGCTGTTGTATAATTCAGCTTTTTCCACTCAAGGCAGCGAGCCAAATTGAAACCTATTCTTTCCAGACAACACTTCAAAACAGTAATCCATGCAATTGTGACCCCACAATTGGATAACTGTGATGCACTTTACATAGGAGTCAGTGATTTATGTATTTCCCAGATCCAGAAGGTACAAAATGCTGCTTTAAGTCTTTTATTAGGTACACATAGATTTGACCATATTTCCCCTATTTTAGCTTCCTTCCATTGGTTGCCAGTACATTTTAGGATTCATTTAAAAATCCTTTTATTTGTTTTTAAAGCTCTTCATGGCCTTTGGCCTCCCTGTCTGTGCGAGCTGTTAAATTCTTACACACCCTCCCGTTCCCTCAGGTCAGCTGATCAGTTGCTTCTGAAGGTGCCAAAGACAAAGTGCAGCTCAAAGGGGACTGTGCTTTTTCTATGGCAGCTCCCAAGCTATGGAATGATCTTCCTTTAGGCCTAAAGGAACTATTTCCCCACTCTTTGGCCACAAACCATGTTTTTGATGTGGTTTCTGTAGGTTACTGCGAATGGTTGACCTACTTTATAGAACTGCAGTGTAACTCAACATTAACATACAACTCCAGCAGGAATATGGGTTTACAGAAATAATAAATTATTTACAAATAGATCCAAGCACATAGAAATAACATTGATTAGCTTGTTGTTTGCATTAGTGATAGCATTGTTATCATAGACTAATTACCAGTACTTAAAATAGCTCAGCTCACTGCTGCAGAAACAAATCGACAGCCATTTAATGCTCCATTTGATCCTAAATGGTTGACAAAAATAATTGGGAGCTTCCAGGATTTTTAAAGTTCTCATCAGGCTCATCGTCGGCAGCACCAGATAGTTAGTCATGTTAATCCCCTCGACGCTGGGTAAATCCTCAAGATTAATTGACAAGTCTTTTTACTGAGACAATATGAATCATAGCCTAAATATACACAAATTTTTTGAGATATCTCGTCTGTTCGAGCCCATTTCTGGCATTAGAGTTTTGCTGGGATAGGTCTATATGTGAATGTTACTTGTGAAAAAACTGAATAGTTTGCTGATTTTTTATTTTTCACATGAATGTGTTCACAACCCCAGAGAGCCACATGTAAATCAGATGCTTTGAATATATATATTCCAAACAAGCTTTTCAAGTTTTATTCTGAGTCAATCATTATTAATGCCTCCAGACATGAAGAAGATGAGTCAGACCACATCCAGAATGTTGACATGTCTCCATGAATGAGGGAATTAACTGAGAGCTCAGAAATATGTCGGCTGCCAAAAGATTTAGTATCGAGCTCAACCCCCTGCTTCTTTTCTGCACACAAGAGCAAATCATTTGAATAATTCTCACTGAAGCTGTCTCATCCACTTGTTTTGGTTTTGAGGGCAATCAGCCATAGTCTGCAGGTAATTTCTAAGCACAAGCAAATCTGCTGGTTCCATTAGAAAACATTCTTTTTATGGCGAGGCTTTACAGTAAATGAGAAAAGAAAGGAGCTTTCTAATGGAAGAAGACGGGTGAATCTGCTGCCTCGTATGTTTCTGGAACACTAAAAGGGAGATGGATTAGTTTGCATTCCTGCTAATTTATTATCCAAATTATCATTCCGCAGATACTTTAACTGTGAAACTGTATGAAACTTGAGCAAATGCTAATCCAGAATCATGTTGGTTTTTCTCCTTTTTTAACAAACTGATTATCAAAGTAATAAGTATGGATCATGTACGGTTCGCTCTGGCAGTCCTTCTGCTTCTCTGAAATCTCTGAAGAGCAAACTTTAAATATGGAAACCTAGGAATATTTACAGCAGTGTTATTAACGGACTGACAGTTTATTACAACTTTGATTGGAACACATTTAATGTAAATACCATCTACAGATCTACCAACAATGAGTGGTGTATCTTCTGTCTGAGGCTATTTTCATGTTTTTTGTGTACTTGGAGAAGTTTCTGTTCATAACCTCCACAGACTGATTCCTTCCACAGCTTGTCTTTGCCTAGAAGTTCAGTCTTGGGGGCCTGAGGATCAGGTCTCTGCTTTTTTTAGGTGACGTAGTTCAATTGTCGTCAGCTCTATTTCTGACATATGAGGTATGGCGGCATAAACCTGCCATTTCCAGGTCAGGGAAAATGTCCTGACTCAAACATTTGTTCATCCAGGAGGAACTCTGAGCCACTGATCTTAGTGGCGCTTCTACTTTATGCTTATATACAGTACAGATCAAAAGTTTGGACACAACCTTCTCATTCTTTGGGTTTCTTTTATTTTTATGACTATTTATAAGGCAAGAAAACCATTTATTAGCGTGACAGGGCACACCTGTGAAGTGAAAACCATTTCATGTGACTACCTCTTGAAGCTCATCAAGAGAATGCAGAGTGTGTGCAAAGCAGTAATCATAGCAAAAGAAACTTTGAAGAAACTACAATAAAAGGTGTATTTTCAGTTTTACACTTTTTTGTTTAGTACATATTTCCACATGTGTTAATTCATAGTTTGATGCCTTCAGTGTGAACCTACAATGTCAATAGTCATGAAAATAAAGAAAATTCATTGAATTAAAAGGTGTGTCCAAACTTTCGGTCTGCACTGTATGAAACAAGCTATATCTGCCAACAAAGTGATGGATACTAAAGTTACTTTTCTTGGTCCACTGGGGAGTTCATTTTTGCTTCAAAAACCAATCTGATGAGATGCTGGAAAAGGTAATGTTGTATTCAATATTTTGCTGAGCAGAGTTAGCCTATTGGTAAAGCTATTCTAGGCTAAAATAGCATCTCTAAGCTAAACATGTTGCACACATCCCCAGTGCTAACATCAGAGTCCACTGTCCACTTTTCTAAAGAAGTTTCATGAGTGATCAGGGCTTAAAGGTGAAAACTGAATGGCTGGAATGACACTTAGAACCAATAAATGTATGTCTTGTTGAGTTCATATATCCATTTTTTTCAATAATTTTATAATTAGCAGTAATGAATGGTTTCTGATTTAAAAATGTTGCTTATTTTGTCAAATAGTTTAATTAAAAAAGCATTAACTAATTAACCACCACTAGTTATAATACAGACTGGCAGGTCTTCAGTTTTTAGTATGAAACAAGAAAACTTATAATTGTTATATACATTTACTGCCTGCATGCAAAGTTATTCTGTGCACTATTCATTGTGCTGAATTTATTTCATTTAGAAGCTTTAAGGATTATTATAAGTAACTTTTCTAAATTTTCTCTGAGGTCTTGGGTCGGCTCTGACCGTGGAAAGGCTAAACCAATAAACTTCCCATTCTGGATTAAGTGTTTTCTCTTGTCAATGTTCCGTCTCAGCTTGCTCTCTCCCAAATAGAGTGCTGTTTTAAATATGCTGACACTGATGTTGCTTCGTGGGAATGTGAACAGTTCGAAATAAAACACTCTGGTCCTTGATGCTGTTTCAGATTTAAAGATGTGCAGATATTTAGGGTTGATCCTGATAAATATGGCTTTGAGATGAACACATTTTAAAGATTGGAGGTTTTGTTGCTTTAGCAAAAATTCCTTTTATTGGTAAGCGTGAAAGGCGGAGAGTTATAGCACCACCCTGTGGCCATAGGGAGAAATTACATCAATACAGGTTGACCACCATCTCCAGTTGATCCTTTTATTCTGCATTTAGAAATATGCCGAAAATGGAATAAATAACTGCCTTATGACAACTCATTAGTCACAGAGGAGTCCAACAATGGAAACAAAATATTTATATATACTCCATTCAAAATGTTTCATGGACATGAAGTCAGACTGAACTGCTTCAAATCAGTTCGTATGACAAACATTTTTATTTGCTAAATACTAAAATAAGAAATCAGATATTCCAACTTTGTTCCAGATCAAACATTTATATACACTAATGACTAAGCAATGTGGAAAGCCCAGATGATGAGGTCACGGCTTCTGATAATTTGACTCGTAACGTGTTAATAGGCAGGAGGAACCACTGTGGATGAAGGCAACACCTCAAACACCTGGCATCATGGGCAAATCAATCATTAGCTAACTAACACCAATTGAAAATAGGTCCGGTTCATCCTTCAGTTCACCTTAAAAATGTAGTCATAAGTCATATTCAATCATCGTCAAAGATTTCTAATAGAGTTGCAACCAATCTGAAGAAGCCTCTGAGCCTTGTGGCCGTCATGACAACAGCTCAGTTTCCCAGCAGCAGAAATGATATTCCACAGTAGCATGTCCTGGATGGATCTCATCATCTTTAAATCTGTCTGGCTGTATGGTTAGAAAGATGTTGCCATCAGAGATGTGATCCATTCACCCGTTATGATGGATGGACGGGACGAGTTTGAAGCTTCCAGTTCAACTCCTCTGAGGTTTGGGATAATAGTTCAGGAAACATTTGATCTTTTAAAATCCCAGTCAGGTGTTCCCATTTGTAAAAATAATGTCTTGTCGCCATGGTTACCCAAGATAACTGTCTCATAAGTAAAATAAGTAGAAGTAAAAATTCTTCAGCTGGTCACTCCAGAATATTCAGTGGTTGACATCTTGACTATAGAACAGATTAGTTTTGGGGGGAAAATTAGTAAAAAAAAAATTCTGATTAAATGAAGGTATCTGTTTTTTTTTAGTTCTTTGTGCACAGCCATTTTCTCTCCAGCTTTCTGAAAATTGAATCTGATTTCTAGCCAAATCATTGGTCCAATTCTGTGAGACATTTCAATGTAGTGACTGATAAATGTCATTGCTCAACGATCACTTCAGATAAATCCACAACAAGCCAACCACATCATCATGTGTAAAATTTGTTTTAATTATGTTGAACATAAGGATAAGTTAAAAATCAGCTAAATTCTATAAACACTTTTTAGAGGTTAGAATATACAACTAACAGGAATTTATTTAGATCATTAAAAGCATCAGGTAGTGATGTTAAACAGGATCTACTTGTTCAGAGAAGAAACCAGGAATTCCATCCTACAACAGGTCTGAGAGTAGACCGAGACTCGAAACAACAAAAAAAGTCCAGTCTGAAACTCCTGAGTGTTTGACGAGTTATTATGATGCAGGGAGACGGCGTGAAAGCAGACAACTGGGAGTTTTAACAATGCTGCCAGGGTTGGAAATAATCAACAATTCTCAGATTCTCAGGAAAGCAACATGGTGATGTCTAGCTGACATACACATCAAATATAGATTATTGTTTTGGTTCAAGTTAAAGCATATGTTAAAAGAGCATGAAACAAAGACTTAAGACAAAGAGCTTTCAGGTGCTCATCCTAGGTGACCTCTGGCTTCAGTTCAGCAGGAGGACTGAATGAGTGGAATGGATGAAACCAGAAGGACCAGATGAGTGAGATGGATGGATAGTTGTTCTAAACGCTGCCTCTCCCAGTCGGGTGTGAATCAGGCTCAACAGATACACTACCCACCTGAAAGTGCAGCGTCTCTTCTTGGTAATTAAGTCTTTCAACTGAACAGATTCGGAGGGATTTGAAAGAATCATTGCTGAATCGAGTGATTATAAGCTTGTCTTTTGGGGGTTTTTAATACTTCATTAGAAGTCAAACAAGTTTTTTTTTTTTTTTTGCTCTAATAGTTGGAGCTGTCATCGTAGGAACTCAAATCCATGTCAAAGAAATCCTCCAGCTGCCACTGCAGTGTCTCAAACGTGGGTCGGTCGAGTTCCTTCTCGTTCCAACAGTCCAACATGAGAAGGTGCATTGGCTTCGGGCAGCCGGGGGGGCAGCTCAGTCTGTGGCCTCCAGAAATCCACTGGACCGCCTGAATGTTTGTCATGGCTGCAGGAAAATAATGAAAACCCAAGATGGAACATAAGTGCTGGCCTAACAGGACACCACTGCTGGTGGAATGGTTTGAAGTCTTTATAAAAGATGTCTGGATCTTACTTTGGTAAGGCATCTGGCCAAATGTCATGATCTCATACAGCAAGATCCCAAAGGACCAAACGTCTGACTTGATGGAAAACTTGTTGTTGTGGATGGCCTCTGGAGCGGTCCACTTCACAGGAAACTTGCCCCCGTCCCTGGCCTCATACACATTCTCACTTTCTTTCTACAATCAAACACAAAAAATAAAACAAACAATTAAAAAGCCCTTGAGTTTAGTTCCTTTACCCAAAGTATTTTTTTTCCCACCACCAAAATTGGGAAGAAATTAAGACCTGTTGGAAACTAAGACCTGTTTCCAGCAGAATCTGACTTGAAACCTACCATAAAAACCCTGGCCAGGCCAAAGTCTGCCACTTTGCAGATGTTATTCTCTCCCACCAGGACGTTCCTGGCAGCAAGGTCTCTGTGGATGTAGTTCTGCTGCTCCAGGTAAGCCATGCCAGATGCGATTTGGGCTGCCATTTCAATTTGGTCCTGCACACGAAGAGTCTTCCCCTTATCCTCTATTGTCAAGGTAGAAATAAATGAACAAAATCAGTAACAATAGGCCGTTTTATAGATCAGCCTACTCAGTTGTTGAAACATTTATATTTATATATAGATAAAAAAAACAATGAACATAAACTTTAGTGCACTAAGTAGGCGTTTCAACATGTCTGATGAGGATTTTCTCAGTGCCAAATGGACCCGACATTCCAGGGAGGCTCAGTGCCACCTGATGAAACTGTTCAGGTTTGTCTTCATTTTACAGAGAGAAATTGGAAAGAGTTGATTCAGGTTTTCAATCTGCTCTTCCATCTCAGGAATTTCCCACATGCCTCAACTGTAACATCATTTCAAAGTTAAAGGAAATTTGATCCTTTTACAGCTTCAGTGCTGTTTGTTGTGAAACAATGATATTTCACTGATAAACTGCATATAAATAATGTCTTGAGCAGTTTGTATTTTAGCTTTTTATCTATCTGATTAAAAGTAAAATTGCAAAATTCACATTTGAATCCCTTAAGTTTATCTAGTTGTGTAACTTACATGTCTAGGAGTGCAGAAAAGTTGAGTTAGGCCTCTCAGTGCTGAGTTTTTCAATCCGTTCAGTTTTCTCAATATCCCCTCTATGTTTTTCTAAACTATTAGGTCACTGTATTTGCTACAGAACTGCTAAACGAGTTTACTGACTTCTAGCCAACTATTATCACAAATCTGCCATTTTTATTCCTCACAGCACTTCAGTAGTCCAAGTTCCAGGGTATAGAAGTACATTTTTTATTTTATTTTAGGGTGTATTAACCAGCAATTCACTCCACTGTCCCTCACCATCACAAACTCTTTGGAGTGACTGGTTAAATTAGATTTTTGTTTTTAAATGCATACACCTTAATAACCTCTACTAGAATCAATAAGACTGCCTAATTGAGGGTTCCTTTTGTCTGGAAATGTCAGACACAGTAGAGCTGGAAGATTCAAATAACCCAAAAATGACTAAATGACTTTAAATATTCAAGAAGGATATGGGAATACATAGAGCAGCCGGCAAGCTCTTTGTTTTTTTTTTCTTTAGTTTTGTTTTTTATTCTTATTATTAGTTTGTGTTTTTTTTTTTTTTTTTATGACGTTCTGGCCATTGCTTTGCTAGCAGTAGCATCACTCTGCTTATGATAATGAGATGTGCTAGTTGTTAGCTCCCTGAGGACTGCGCGTTCTGAAAAATATGACAGTGTGACACAGCTTAGGATGTTTTTTTATTTCGGAAACACCTGATCCAATGCATCCAGTGGCGTTCATGGCACTAACATTAGCTGCCATCAAACTACAAAAATAGTTGGACAGTGTGGAACATGGAGGGATGATGCGCATTTAAAGAGACGGCACCAAAACCAGTTGCTCTCAGTGATCCCTCAGAACAAATCAGATGCCCAGTTCCACTTTGCATAGATTCACTTTAATGATTTACATGTGAGAAGCATTGAAAAGAATGATTTATACTTTTTAAGGGAGCAACTTTCACACATTCGCGTGTGATTAATATTCAAACCATTTTGAATATTAATCTCAACACCACTCATTTACAGCAGCTATCTGTGATTTTATAACACCTGTTGATTGTGTCATTTCCTGCTTTTCCATTGACCGTGTACTTGTGCACTTTGACACCAAACATTAATTTGCCTAATAAAAGCATTTAATTTTTTTTTTATTGTTTTTTGAGAAAATGTTTTGATGATGTGGTTTTTCAGCTGACGAGTCACATGATCAAAAACTGGATGTTTCTTTTCTGTTGTTTTTGTGCCGAAAATCACAACGAAGACAACAGGAAATTGATGAAGGATGGTGGTGTGTCATGGTTTTTAATAATGTGTTTAAAAATCACACATTCACGTGTGATTTTCATAGTGTTTGGTATTTAATGAAAATACTGCAATTGAGAAATTGTTTTTTTTTTTTGGAATATAAAAGTTTTGTGCACATTTGTAATGGAAAAGCAGCTATGAACAGCTCCTTGTCAGGGAAGAAGGTAATTGGCCTGATCATTCAGAATAGGTTTTAATCCCACAGCAATGTTTGAGGTTCTCCTGTAACAGAATGGGCCATGGAGGATGCTAACAGCAGGTCTGAACTGGACCAAACACTGCTCTAGGAACAAAAGGAAAGAGGATAACTGAAATGAAACCAAACTGAGCAAATCTTCTCTGATGATCAGAAGCAGCTGACAAAAGAATTCCCAGAATTTTATAACAACCTGAAGCTCCGTAGATGCCGACTGCTCCTCATAATTGAAGTCGAAAGTGTGGCTGACTTACTTCGAAGGTAGTCCAGCAGGCTGCCGTGCTTCATCAGCTCAGTGATGATATAGATGGGCTCCTCCATGGTACACACAGCATAGAGCTGGATCAGCTTGGGGTGCCGGAGTCTCTTCATGAGCTGAGCCTCTGCCAGGAAATCTTCAGGGTCCATAGTACCTGGGAGACACAAGTTATGGGTTTTTGGGGCAGTGATACAGCACAGGACTTGGAAGCATTTAACAGAAGTTAAGAAGCAATGTCAGCAGTAAGGTCTCAATATAACACATCTAATATCAGTAAATTTTGGTTATTGGCCACATCAATATTAAATGTGGATATTGAAATTGTCCAAAATGTTCCTTATGCATGTGTCCCTACTTTGTACAATTACAGAATAGTGAAAAAAAATCACCAGGTTTGAGGGTCTTTACAGCGACTTCCGTGGTTTCATTCCACGTCCCTTTATAGACTTCTCCAAACTGTCCGGCGCCCAGCTTCTCCATCAGTTTGATAGAGTTGCGAGGAATCTCCCACTGATCCACCGTGTTGTAGGACAGACCGTAGGTCTGTGGAGCCTCCATCTGCACCAACAGGACAGTTGGTAATGATAAGCTAAACATCAGGGGTCAGTGTCTGCACTGCTGCATGCTGTAGTTTACCTTCCTACATGGCTCGCCCAGAAGCACACACAGCCCATCACTCTGTCTGGAGTAATACTCCACCAACTCCTTCAGGGTTGGGAAGGATTTGGTCTTTGACACGTAGTAGTGGCCATTATCCAGTTTCTGGAGCTTATAATGTTTCACTCTCTCTTGGTGCAAAACTAAAGAAAGAATACAAAATCATTTTAATCACTTCCAAAAGACCAACTATGTTATACTAAATGTAATCATCCCCCGACCTAAAGCACACCACAGCATTTATGTGATGGAGAAATAAGAAAAGACAGGTAACTTAAATCAAAAACGGTCTCAATGTTATAAAACAAATGCAAATATTGTGAATCAAATTTGCAAGCAAAGCACATTTATGGTCCAGTTAAAACTGATTTGGAAAAGTTCAAATATTTTTCCATAAATGTTGTCCCATCATAGTCGCTATGGTAAGACCCACTCAAAATTTACATATTACTGTGAAACCCAGAAATGAAACACAAATTACACAGAGATAAACATTTGAAAGCTCCATTAATTAGAATTTTTCACCTACAGGGAATCATGACATTTAAAATCAGAATATTATATAAACAAAATACAAATTTCACACCTACATAAAGGGTGTTATTTTTAAAAAGTACTTTTAATTTGACAAGACTCATTGGGGTTCTCTAAAGGTGGTTCTAAAGTATTGAGCCAGAGATGCTGAATAATAAAAATGCACACCTTCCATCATTTTCCTTCCACAGTCATGTGATACTTCACATTGATCTAACGCATAATATCCAGATCAAACAAGTGGTAAAAATACCAGCTGTTCCGAAGCCGGTCTCCAAGAGTTGTGTTTTAGTGTGTGTAATATATGTGTCTGACAGGATTGATTATTAAACAAATCACCAACTCCAATGATTCTTTGCTCACTGCATTGTGTCCTTTTTGTATGTCACATGATCTTGTTAGCGAGGCAAACCTGCTCAAGTCCATATTTGGTATTAGTGCCAAAATTAAGACTATTGCACACCCAGGCATAGCTACGTCCTTGTTGTAGGAGTTTACATCCGTTCCAAAGCCAGGTAGTTATCTAATTACTGACAGTTACCAGTGCTGCTGGCCTGAGTGGTCAGTGCTGGCAATAGAGATGAAGGCTGCTCACTTCCATTAGCTTTGGAGAGGCTAGTGACTAGCATATCTAGCAAATGAACGAGACATGGATTGCCTGCTTCCTCTGCTTCCTTAGCATGGATATACTGGGGTTAGCATTCAGTAGGCTTGGAAAGGCTAACAACTAGCTTGTTGTTAATGACTCGTACCTTTTTCTCTTTAAAAAAAAAACATCAAGTTAATCTGCTCAAAGTGGAATCACCTTTTCATTATTTGCTGAATGGAAACTGCAATTGGAAGCCAATGATAGGCCAGCACTCAGTTATGAGTGCTGGCCTATCATTAATCGGATCAGTAGTTGGCTTTGGAATAGGTGTAACCCTCTGCAATAAGGAAGTAGCCACCACTGGGTTAGCTATAATCTTAATTATTGACACCAATACTGCACCACAATATTCTGCCAGAATGCTGCTTGATTCACTCTACTGACAGCAGCTTATACAGTGAGCAACACTGAAGATGATTGTGGTGACCAGTGGGTCCAGAGGACCTGGTGGCAGCAGCCACTTCTGTCAGTTGACCTGTTATCCAGTAGGTTGCCACCATCAGTGTGAATGTAGTGCAGGATATTTACCATTTAAAATGGACATTTACCACTTAATGTGGCCATATATAGTTATAAAATAAATAAATTGTCTGCATCAGCATCAGAGAGAAGTCAGCCAGCACAGTATTCTGCTTATTGTTCTAATATGAAGTACAAAAGATACCAGGTTATATAACATGGAAAACCTGAATGCTGGACTCTTCTTCCATGGTTCTGTGCATGTGTGACAACAATCAATCAATCAATAAATGCTTTAAAAAAGGAAATGTTATTTTCTTACCTGAGAGGGAGTACTCTCCTTTCAGACTTTCAGAGTTTCTAATGAGGAATGCTCCTTCCCGGTTCCCTTCACCCTGCAGCAACTTCTCTGCATCCAGTCGCTTGGTGTCTGGGAAATACCATCTGGAAGCATCACAATTAGAAACATGGTTATTTTTAGGAAACCCTTTTTCCAATTTCAACATAATTTAAAATTCTTTTATTTATTTTTATTTAATGTTATTTCATCCAGATCTTAAAGGCAGGGATTTGTGTAATTTAGTGGTTATAAATCTGAGCAAACAAAGCACATCTGAAGGCCACTTTTATTCAACATGATCCAACTTGCTCAGATTATGGAGAACTACAAAATATTACAAAATAAAGTGTATTTATTTCCTTGAAGTATGCTGCATTGTCAGCGTTAGTGAGAACTTTTGAGCCATGTGGAGACGCGTGTCTGACAGGAAGGACACGGTGCTCATGTGATGAAGATTTGTATCCAATATCGAGCATCATTGTGACCTCTGACATCCGCATATGTACTTTAAACATGGTAGATAAGAGTTTCATAGATGCAATAACCATGACAGCAGTTACTGCTGTCATGGTTACAGCTTCTGAGGTGACAGCAGTAATCCTGATGATGAAGCAGATTGGGAGAGCTTTGATGGACAGGACTTTGAGACCAGCTCCAGGAAGTTGTAGAATATAGTATGTAGTATATTTCTGATTTCTGCTTCTCTTACGACTCAACGGTAATGTCATATAGTTTGAACAGTAATCTGATACAAGAATTTTTTGAAAATAAAAGTGATTTGAAGTCACACGTCTTTATTGTAACGCCGATCTGTTGAAATATCATCAGTGATTTCTGAAAACATTTTGAGGCTCAGACAGTTTGTTCAGAAAGTCTGTTCTGTTCTGAGATAAGTCATCTCAGAACGGGTCACCACCACCCTGATGAGGTCTTATGCAAAATATATTTTTTGATAAATGATAGCTTAAGAACAAAGATAAACAGCTTCAATTAGAATTATAGATTTATGTTGCTGTTGAAGTGAGTCATTCTCTGCCGTTTCCTGGTTCTGTTTGCAGCGCAACGTTGTGATGATCGTCTAATGGACTCTCATTGGTACTGGTTCTACATACAGTCCAGAGCTGCAGGTATAAACTATAGACCCACAGATCTTTAGAGACCAGCTAACCCAGTAAGCACTGTTCAGTCCTTAAACAGTAAACCAATCAGGATTGCCAACATGACGCCTTACTGCAACTCATCTATAAAGTTCAGACATATTTCAATCTTGTGTTTTAATTCATCTATATTTTTATACAATGATTTACATTTTTAAATGAGGTTTGTGAGGTTTTAATGTGCCTTACTTTAATTGTGATTTCCTGTAAAGCTCTGGCCATAAACAGGGCTCTGTAAATCAACTGACTTCCTCTTTCTGAAGAGACAACATTCTTACTTTGTCACTAACCAGTGGATCTGGATTCCTGAATCAAACATCCTGCATGAACTGTACAGACCAAGTTGAAAAAAAATGTCCAACAGAGGCAACAACGTTCAGCTCCCTCCCATCTGATGAATAAGAATGCTTTGAGCTACAAGAAGAATCAAACTATTTTTAAAATCAGTTATGACATACTTCTGGAAACAATTTCAAGACTCTTATCTTTCTGGCTTTGACAAGCTTCCTGTAATCTGAGTCAGCAGCAGAGAAATAATCCAGCTGAAGCTGATTAAAAAAATAAAACTTTGGACCAATGAATCACCCAAACAAGATAAATGTGTATTTTAAGTTTGGTGTATCTATTGCAGCTTTCAGCAACATATCAAAGGCTGCCAATGTAACTGGGTCTGTATTAATAGTTATATGTTTTCTTTCATGTATTTGTCCGTTTGCACCTGACTGTTCTTGTGTTCCTCTGTGTCTGCTATGGGGGCTTTCTTCTTCTCTTGTTCAGGGTCCTGCAGGACTATTATAAATGTTAAATTATTAATTTACTCTTCCCTTTTGTTACTCGTTCCACTGGGAGAGGCAAGTTTTGTGGTCCGTTGGAATCCTTTCATTTATATTGTTCAAATGTTTATTTTACCATCCGTGTTGGTTATAGGTATTTGGATATTTTCATTTGAGTTGTTATTACGCCTTTATAACATTTGGTACATGCTAACATTATTATTTTGTATAGATCGGGTTGGAGAACTGGAGCACATGCTATGTGCTAATGCTAATATCTCCCGATTGACAGATTAATAAACGGAGACCGCCTCCAAACCCAGACTTGTTGCTTTGTGGTTTGTCCGATCAAAACACACACAATGCAGAAGTCCACCGGTCACACCTGGCCTCCTGACATCAACTCTACATAAACTATCTAAAGAGACTCGATTTCTTTGATTCTTCTTCTACAAACCAAGAAGTAGCTAAGCTCACTTCATACATAAAAATATATCTGTCCTGTGTGTCTGTCTACACCCTGGATGCCACCTGATAGCAGAGAGAGCATGAGGATTAAGTATTGAAAATAAACAGAGGGATCTGTTTTTCTCTCAAGCAAGCCTGAGGTAACAGTAGAGAGAAATGACGCTCCTAATAGAAAGAAACTCCTGGAAGAACCAGAAAGGAGACATCTCCTTTGATAACTGGATGGTTGGAATTAAGGTTGTTTAGATAAAACAAGCTTTTTCAGTGAAGTGTTCTTTAAAATTGCCTTTTCACTTTATAAACATGAACTAGATTGACGAATATTAATCACAACCACAGATTACACACCATGTTCTGTTCATCCGTGAAAAACTAAAAGTGAAAACCGGATCATGTCAGTGAACATGCAGAACACAAAACAAACAAAAATATCACACTAATCATTGGGACTACTTTACAGGTGATTGTAGTTGTAGAATGGAGCAAGAACGTGAATTAGGTTCTGATCAAGTATCTGATGATAATCTGATGTTCTTTGCTTCAGTAACAGTGAGGACTTTGCTGCAGACATCCTGGTGAAAAAATGTACTTCAATCCTTCATATAAAAGCGAGTTTCAGAGAATTTGAAATTATTAAAGTTCAACAACTCATTATTTTACATTCAAAAAGTGAAACTCTGAGAGATCATAAAGTTGTTAGTGATGATTATGGTTTATAGCTGACAAAAAAATATTGTTTTCTTTTAATTCAGTATAATATTTTTAATACGTAAATACTGAGTAATGTTCAAGTTAGAGGCCAAGTGGGGAAACTTGTGGCTTTGGATGCTGTGCAGCTTTTCAGCTGTTGGACAATAGTGATGCTGTCCAAGAGTAATGGACATTTTCTAATTAGCAAAAATTCTAATCAGCATTTTTGAGATCCTGATTAGCATCTCAAAAAATGCATGAGCCATTAGCATGTCATGAGACTGGTATACACAGTTTGTTGCCAGACTGACTGCTACAGGCTGGATCCACAACAACTCTTTGAAAATACTTGGATGATGATGGTAACATTTCCTTTCTTTGGGATGAATACAATATTTTAGAGTTAAATTAAACTTTATTGTCCATGAGCCATCGACAACTGTTCACACTGCTAAGATGAGCAACATAAATTGTAATGACTAAAGGTGTCACTATGATGGGTTTTTTTGGCAAACTAATCTAAGCTTATTTAGATGATGGCTAATGTCCAACTTCAAATAAAGACTTGCAACATGAACTTTCTCTCTTCAGGTCAATGCTACTGTATATATACTGTAGTGATGATGCATTCACTCGATCCCACTGAACACACAGGGTGCAGCAGCCGGCCTGCTGCTCCGACAGCTGCATGTCCAAAACTTTAACCAGATGTCAGCACAAGCCTCCCAGGAACAAAATGAACTAATCAGAGTATCAGTGCTGTTGGAGATTTCATGACCACAGTAGGTAAGGCATAACTTTCTGCCTGACTGAAAAGCAGAAAGCTTGACTAGTCATTATCATTCCATGAGTCAGTGACAAACAGCACAATAGTTGCATACCTCAGTGTCTCTTAGTCACTTTCCAGCTTGTAAATCAGGTTTGGTGCTGAGCAAAGCTATGACCTGGACTGAATAAAGAAGCGTTTATCCTGTCAGGATAAACCACCTGACAGTTTGGTAACAAGCAACCTGGACCAACCCACTGGTCAGTGTAACCCTCGTCTTTGTTGGACTTCCAGTCATCTTTCTGACTGCAGATTTCCCTTTCTGCAGTCAGATTCTCATCACACAACTTCACACAAATAGTCTTTGAACTGAAGTCTGAATAAACCTGTAATTACAGTAAAGCCAAGTTGTAAACTGTGTAACTGAAAAGTGCAATGTCCAGGAACTATCAGGAAAGAGGTTTTAATGCGCTGTTGTTCTTGCATGTTTGGCTCTTAGTATAGACAGATAACCGGGAAGTCCAAACTTCCTGGTATGGGATAATGATCAACTCCGTTCAATGCAAACCTGAGTCAAATATCTGCCCCACAGAAAGAAAAGAAATATATGGCCCGCAATCACGTTTTATAGGCTTATACTGGTGTTGCATGACTGAAATAAAATTCACAGTCATTTTCCACAACTCTCAATATATGGCATAAATGAAAGTCACTGATTTCCACTTAATATATTGACAGAATTAGTATTTTAGAACTATTACCAGTTTAAAATACCCTCCTACTTTCTGTATGCTTTTACACACACAGTTTTCAACTTTGTGTGAATAATTCCTGAGTCATTTTAATAAGTTAAAATGACTTCTTGTTAACAGTGAAGCTAGACCATATGTTAAAAGAAACAGTCTAAATCTAGACCTTTTTTCTATTTATTTTATCAGTTAGAAGGAAGTCTATATGGTGGCTCATGGGCAGTTCTAGACAGACCTGCTCCTGTCCTGAAGAGAACACCCCAACATCTTATGGTTGGGGTGACACAGAAACTGTAACTGGTTCCTTAGACCACTTTCATTTTTGACCTTTACATATTTATTTCAACAGTGAATTAATAATTAAGGTGTTTCTCTTTTAGCTGCAGTTTAGCTGAGGCAGGATCACTGTTTTCTTCTACCTGATAGATCAGGGCTCTGCAGCCACACTGCAGGGAGATCCCTGACTCTGAGGCTAACCTAATGTATTAAACAATGCTGTATTACCCTATTTATAACTGATAGGTGGCTGGCCTTGTGGATCAGTCTGTCCAGTCTATATTTATAGTGTTCTATGGTTACTGTGCTTCCTTAAAAGTGTTTACACTTTTTTTCTCCTTTTTGCACTGAGGCTTTTGCAACTGTTGAGCCTTCAGGGCCGCCGCAAGTCTAAAAACAACTTAATGGAGGAGAGTTTAATACTTAGCATGGCCTTATGAATCAAAAGGTGATTTGCTGGTCACAGAAAAACCAGCAGTTCAAACAGTTAATAAACTATTAGAGCCAGCTCTGATCTGGGAGCCTACTGATTGTGTTTTTATGTGCATAAAGTAAAAAGTCTCGTCCTATTAAGATTATGCTTTTTATTTTAACATCAAGCCCATGATAACACTACATTTTCAATCATAACTTTCTAATTATTTATGTGGGTCAGGACTTTAACAAATTAATTTTGAACAAATAATTGCATAGACTCTAAATGCATTAGAAATTCTAATGCAATTAATTCCCTCTTTTGTTTCTGATAAGACCCTAAATCTGATCCACAAACAACATGATTAAAGGAACCAACTGGAGGTTCCTGAAACACTTGAAAGCTGAATGGATAGAACAGCACTTTATTTATGATGCTTGTTTAAAATAACATTAAAAATAAATGTTTTTGTTGTTGCGCACATATGATTATTTATCAAATAATTCATATCCAAAAAGCAATTTTAAATTGAGAACATTGTTTAATTTGTCAATATATGCTTTGTGATTAAAAGCCGATGGTGATTAATTACAAGCTGCAATAATGTTTTTATTATTATTTAAAATGTCTCTGGCACATGATCAAAATTGAAACCAAATGACTAAAGCCAGTCTAATGTTTACACTTTGGTCATATAGTTTTTTTAGTTTTTCATTTAGCATGTGTCACCAACTGTTAAATTTAACCTAATCACATCCTATAATTAATCTACAGTTTATGGGTGCCACTATTGGTCACAAATATTATACATTTAAAAATGTCCACATGTACTGAAACCCTCTACTCATCCAAATCTGTAATAATCAGAATGGCAGTGACTGGAAGTTGAATAAAGTTTTGCTCAGGGCCTAGTACAACTTTCAGCAAGCTGTGGAAAACACAATGTACTTTGATATTCCAGGAAGAATAATCTTCTTCCATGTATCTACAAATCTGGGCTAAACTACAGATTGTTATATTTTCTGGTCATTGCTGCGACTCAACAATAGAATAAAAACATTTATTGGAGATGAAAGAAAATAGCTAATCTCAGTTCAATAAACCCTTATAGTGACTTTTCTGTTTCTCTGCCCTATATATAATCTAATACAATGACAGCTTTTTAGCGGTGAGGGACAACAACCTTATCTTCTTCTCACTCTTTTTTTAAATATGCCATCTGGTTTCTTTGTTTATGGAATAGAATATTTATTCCCAAGGTTATTGGGACAAGCTATTCATTCAGGTGTTACATATGAATTAGAATGAGATATCAAATTTATAACAGATAGGAGGCTGGCCTTGTGGATCAGTCTGTACAGTCTATATTTATGGTGTTCTATGGTTCCTGTGCTTCCTTAGGTTTTATTTGATATTGTGATGTGTATTATTTTGTAATAAGTGGGAAGCTAGGTGTCATTAATATTTTCTAAATAGATAATTAAAAATAAAAACGTATCACATGTTTTGATAAAGTATAAAATACAGATTATGATATGTGACCAAGTAAGTTTTCAGTTCCGCTTCCTGACAGCGCCCTCTGGTGTTACAATAGATTATCGTCACATAATTAGGTAGAACACCTCAGAAGGTTCGTTGAATCTTATCACCAGTTCAGAAACTCAGAAATAACCACTGAGGAAACGTAACTCCTTACTGTACAGAGATAACACTCACGGTTCAGCATCAATGCTCTCCACAGGGGCCACGTAGTTGGCCGGGATGTATCCCTTTCTGTCGATTGAGATCCCGGTCAGGGCTCTGGCAACCCACCACTCCCCGGCACTGGTGTCCAGGACCTCCAGGTAATCCCCGGTGTTAAACGTCAGGTCGTTGTCGGTACGAGCGGAGTAATCAAACAGGGCGATGTAGCGCTCCGACTTTGGAGGTGAAGGCAAAGGTCTGTTTTCAGGGGGACCTCCAGGACCCCGGGTCATTGGGTTACTCAAAACTGTAATCGTTTTGTTCTGGTCAAGTTTCTCCTCCTGCTCTTTCTTGCAGGAGTTACAGCAGCAACAGCAGCACGAAACAACTCTCTCCCAGAGCGAGGAGGTCTCCTGGGTCCCCATGATGCTCTCTGCTCTTCAATCACAGCCTCTCACTTTGTCAAAGCTCTGCTGTTGGCCTCATTATGCCATGAAACACAGCGACATTAATAACGCCACTGCGGGGCGATCTTTGACCGCAGCGGAACAAACAGGTCCGAGTGGAGCGACTGCGGCTGAGGTTGTGAAGCTTCCTGGTTGTTGAGCTGCTTCAGGTTCAGGTGGAGGAAATCACCTCCACCTGCTGAGGAATGAGGAGTGGCCCCAGTCACGCTGACGTCACGGACTCAGCATGTCACGGAGAAAAACACACGAGGTTCAACAACATGAAGCCTGCTAAAAATAAAACTGGCAGCCATCCATTTATTTGAAGCCGTTTTGTCTGTGGGCTTATTAAACATCGACATCATGTCTGATTATTAAAACTATTCCAGGTTTAATTTCAGTCTAAAAAAAAACAAAAACACAAAGATTTTTAATGAACTGGATCATATTCTGAACTTCCTACTTTCACTAGTTTCCCACAAGGCTGATTGTGATTCTGATGTAAATTGTATTTCTTTCTCCTCGTTGTTTTGTTTTGTACTACAAGATATTTCCTCCACTGTGCTGCTTCTCATGTCAGCCTGGCAAGAGGAAGTTCCCGGTGGCTCCCTGGAGGAACTCATGGTACTGAATGGAGGTCCAGTTGGTCACTGTTACTTCAGACTGGGCTCATTCTGCAGACAGTTTGCTTTTTCAGATTTCAAATATGCTTTGTCGCATCTGTGATGTGCCAAAACAATTTCATAAATGTCCATCCATCAGTTGCAGTGATGTTCGACATCAAACAACCAAACATGAACACAAGCTGATGAACCAATGCATCAATCTAACATTTACTGTGTTTTCAGCACTTTTATGTGATGTTTTTTAATAACTGCCAGGAAGCTATGAGAAAAAAACTACTTTGAAATCTCCTGGATCTAGAAAGGAAACCTCAAGTTACAAATTTACTCATGATATTCTAACATAGCGTGATATGTTAGAATCATGCTATGTTTCTAACATATCAATTTCTGAAATGGCAGCATTTTGTTTGAATGTCACTTTATGGTGGACAGAGTTGGAGGAATTAATGTGAAACTTTGACATAAATCAAGAACAATAATTCCGTTTTTAATCACTCCATTGAAACCAGTGAGCCAGCACTGGGAACCTTCTGGGTTCATGATGTCATACCATCACCTGAGGACTGGTTAAGATCTGTGGAATGCAGTTTGGTTTCTTTCTAATCTTTTTGTTCTTTAGAGGTTTGTTGATCACAGACTGTATTCAGGTTTTCAACAGAGCTCCCTGTAGACATGTTCTGTTTAATCACAAAAGAGTCACAGCTGAGTCCCTTCCCAGGCAGTCATTTCCCTCATCTGCCATCTTCCAGAGGAACTGAGACGAGGATCCAGTTTGGTTCTTTACATGTTTGTAAATGGAGAAGCCTTGACCCAAAATGAGATATGCTTTATTTCTCCACCCAAATTCTGCCTATAGGTTCAGAAAAATATGCAACATGTTAGAAATAACAAGCTGCTAAGATGTAGTTGTCTGAAAATGAAATCAGATTCAGTGACAAACACAAAACTTGGACTGGACTTTGATCATATTGTTGATAAGTGACAAACATAAACTGAACAATTCAGGATATGTTTATAGCACAGCTAAAGTGAACAGAACTCCTGTTCACTTTAACAGGAGTTCACATTTGCTCTACTCTATTTCTGTCAGAAATCAAATAAAATAGCTTTATTGAGCCCCATAAATAAATTGCTTATTTGTTGACAAGCTGCTCCATCCAAAGTGCTAAATATTTGTAAAAATAAAGATATAAAATGTATTTTAAAAAATTACATATACATTCATTCAGGGCTGCATAGTGGTACAGTTGGTAGCACTGTTGCCTTGCAGCAAGAAGGTCCTGGGTTCGATTCCCTGCCCCGAGTCTTTCCGCATGCAGTTTGCATGTTCTCCCTGTGCATGCGTGGGTTCTCTCCGGGTTCTCCGGCTTCCTCCCACAGTCCAAAAACATGACTGTCAGCTTACTTGGTTTCTCTAAATTCTCCCTCGGTGTGAGTGTGTGTGTGCATGGTTTTTTGTCCTGTTTGTCTCTCTGTGTTGCCCTGCGACAGACTGGCGACCTGTCCAGGGTGAACCCCGCCTCTTGCCCGGAACGCAGCTGGAGATGGGCACCGGCAACTCCCGACCCTGTTAGGGAGGAGGGTGCTCAGAAAATGGATGGATGGATATTTACATTTACTTAAGCAAAGTCTTAAAAAGATTTGACATTTAGACGTAGTTTTACTAAACTATACTTTTTGATTTTGCTTCTGTAATATTATCACTACTTTTATTTTACTAAATGAAGAACAAGTTTGCTTTAACCAAAGCTGGACAGGTACAAACACACACCTGGAGCTTTTGTTAAAGTGAGACATCCTGTTTGTACACAAGCTTTGTTTCTCTATTGTTTTTTTTCTGCTGAGCCCTTTGGGTCCCAGTCAGGGGATTACCGTGAATATTGTTATGGACGTTCTTTAGCCTATTTCAACATATAAACAGTTTACCTAACATAAGTTTTAGTGTCACAAGTTTCACAATAAAAAAAAATTATTTTAAAAATGTTTCAGTTGTCTGGCTTTATTCTGTAATTATGCTATGTGAATTATTTTCAATTTTGTAAATAATCCCCTATATACTTTCGTCCATCTGCTGAGACAATTTTTAAATATAACATAATAAATTGGTCTGTTACTTCATATTAGAGTAGCCTTTTTAACAAATGCTTTATTACTCTTAATTGAGTAATGCCATTAACTCTTTACATTTTTTTCACTGTAACCCACTTGAGTACAAAATATTTTTAAGTAGCACCATTCCTACTTGAGTACAATTTTATCCATCCGCGAAAATGACTGTGGACAAACATGCTTATTAACAATATATTTATCTCGGGAAATCAAATTAGAGGCACAAGAAGGAGCGCTGGCACCATCGTGTGGCAAAATAGGGTATAAAACATCTGTGCAGTTTCAGAAAAGTAGTTCATTTAGTTGGATAAAATGAGTAAGAAATAAGTTTCGGTCTTCACACGAAAGCTTGTTACAACAGTAGTAACAAATATTTATACAGATTATTTATTAACCCTCTGATGCATAAGTGGACCCTTTTGGATCCAGTGAGGTCATCTTTTTGCAATATATTTGTAATGAAAAGTTTTCATCATTTCATATTCCAGCTATTCCTCAACAAAAATGTTATTGATATCATGTAATTCAAATGTTTAACTGACCTTTTACACATTTTAAGACATAGCATATTTTATATTACTACCCCATTCTTCCACAAGTGGGTCCAAAATGACTTGCATTCATTTCCTACGGAATTTAATAAGGATCTTTGTTTCTTACCAGCTGTGACTGTCAGGAAAATAATTTTTTTGTGAATCAAACACACTGAGTCCTAAGTCTCACCTTGAATAATAATATTTCACACAGCAAAAACTTTTACATATCACTATTACCTTTATTTTTACCTCCAAAATTTGTGTGTGTATGTGTGAGTGTGTAGATTATCAGTGTGCTGTGACAGTTATTGTCGTAAAACAACCTATTAGCCTTCTTTGAAGTTAGCTAATACTAGTTATCTAATCAATCTAGCTAGCTAACATTACTGCCCATACTTTATTGTGTATGTGTATTATTTGTGTGTGTGTCTGCGTGTCTCTGTGTGTGTCTGACACCCTGGATGAGAAAACCAAGAGACAGTGTGTGTCGAATGACATGCAAAACCTCTTGATCAATGTGTTCAAGGTTCTTTTATTAGCTCAATAAATAAAATAAAAATTCATAGCTATATAAATAAATGCATAAATAAATGAGCTGAGAAATAATAGAGTGCCTTCTCCAGGTCGGAGAGGATATTCTGTCCCAAGTGGAGCAGGAGATCGACAGACAGATTGGTGCAGTGCTGCAGTGAAGCGGGCATGTACCAGTCTGTTGAAGTGAAGACAAAGCTGATGCAAAGCTCTTGATTTAGGGGTCTAAGTTCCTACCCTCATCTATGATCATGAGCTTTGGGTAATGTCTGAAAGAACGAGGTCATGGTTTTTTAGGGTGTCTAGGTTCTGTATTACATAGAGAGAAGCTCAGTCATCCGGGAGGTAATCAGAATAGAGCCGCTGTTCCTTCAAGTCGAGAGGAGCCAGTTGAGGTGGCTCAGGCTTCTGATTAGGATGCCTCCATGGTGAGGTATCCTGGGCACGGCCCACCGGGAGGAGACCCAGAGGAAGACCCAGGACACACTGGAGGGATGATGTTTCTCAGCTGGCCAAGGAACGCCTGGAGAAGCTGGAAGAAGTGGATGGGGAGAGCAAACTGTGGGCCTCCCTACCTGGATAAGAGGAGGAGGAGGAGAAGGAGGAGGAGGAGGAGGAGGAGGAGGAGGAGGAGGAGGAGGGAGGAGGGACGCACACACACACACACTCACATGCATGATACAAACACAGCACAATAGAATACAGACGGCTGTGTTAGCTTGCTTGGTTAGCTTGCTAGTTTGCTATTTCTATTCTTTTCTAAGAAAGAAAAATGTATCTGGTCTACTGAGAGACTAGCTTTCTTTCTGATATGTACACAAAACTGACACATTAATGTTTGGTCTCAACAGAAGTTCAGTTTTATTTTGTATAGTATAGGAGTGGGCACGGCCCACTCCTCCCGGTGGGCTGTGCCCAGGATACCTCACCACGGAGGCATCCTAATCAGATTATTAAATGGTGTTCCAACAAAATAACCATGAAGTTATCTTCAGATTCTATGTCAGAGTTGCTCTCTCACATGTGTTGCCTGCAGGAAATTTAGTATGGATGAGTGCGCTATAACATGAACTAACAGCTGCAACTAAAAAAAAAGAAAAATATTTCTATCAATATTATAGGTCTATTTCATCTAGACGAGCAGAGCAGAATGGCATGGACAATGAATTTTAATGCATACAGAAAACAAAGACTGCATGTAATTATTAGATAATTTAACACATTATCTCTGATATTATTTTTATCATATCCAAAGATGGTACACCAAATCTGAACATATGAAAGTTGATTGTAAATTCCAAGAGAAACAAGAAATTATCAAACAGCATTTCTATGTCAGGAGAGCTGAAGGTCTTGGATGAGTTTAGATATCTCGAGCTTCAGCTGGAAAACCGACTGGACTGGAGACGCAGCAGTGAAGTTATATAGAAAAATTAACTAGAAAATATTTGTTGATGACGATTAGGCTGTTCAGTGCAAAAAAATACAAAGACAGGACATCTTCAGTCAGACTCTCAGAAATGCTGAGACCACTACAGGAGACCCTTCCTGTCCATAACCATTACCATCTATAATCTTTTAACAAACTTGCATCAATAAATTATTTATTTCCATAGTGACTTGCACAACCAATATTTCAACCAAAGTGCTTCATAAAATCAGAAAGAAATGACAATACGTCAAAAACAAGAAACGTGGATAATGATTACAATATTTTAGGCCTCCTCAGTTTTTAACTATAGACTAGGAACATATTTAAAACTTTTGAATTGATGTTGCATTTTGCAAAATGCTTAAGTATGTATGCAAACTAAAATTAATAATTTAAAGTCATTTAAAAACATGAGTTGAAGGACATAAAAACTTACTTGAATTATAAGACATGTTCTCTGATCTAAGATCAGGGCTGCAAGGAAATAATTCACAATTAAAACAAACAACAAAAAACATTTCAGGTGTTTATAGAGAATCTTTTCTATCTTTCCTTTTGTTCAACCATAACCAGAATCAGTTTTCAGCAGCTGGATCCACCTCGGACTTTTCTTCTGTCTTCAGAGAGTTGTCCAGACTGAGGACAGAGAGGGGAGGTGAGTTTACTGCACCGGGTCATGTAGGGCAACAGGTTTAGAAACTGACATCAACTATGGAGTGGAGCTACAAATCTAATCCAATCTGGATTAAGCCCAGCGTTGTTCAGGCTGGAGGTGATTTAGTAGTATTATTGTAGGCAGTGTGCTTTTGTTCCAAACATAAAAATTATAACTGATTTTGTTTTTAAAACATAAATATAAAATGTTTTTATATTTAAAACATAAATATAAAAACATTATTGTGCAAAACACCATATTGGTGGGTTGAGTCAGGTAAAATGTCTCACTGAAGCAGAATTCAAATCTGCTTCAACATCATCTAAGAGTATGATAATAAATGTACTTAAAAATTATTTTAAGTACAAGCCATATTTAGGAATATTTCACTTGTTTTTGGACATTTTGTTCGATTCACTCCCTATTTCTTAGCAATGCTGAATAGGGTACTTCAGAGACCAAGTTTTGGTCTTTTATTACAGATCATTAAAAACCACAAGGGTTTGGATTCACTGGAAAAAATTCCACTCTTCACTAAAAACTCAAATATTGAAAGTAAATGATTGGACTTAGTAGATTATTTATTAACTTAGCATAAATTAAATGCCTCAATAACTTAAATAACTTATCATACACTGAATAAAGACGCCTAAGAAATGTTTTCTCAGTTGGAAGCTAAATTAGACCAAACGTTTCTTGTTTTACGTTAGCAAAGATTACCAACTTAGTGAGAACATTTTTAGAGATCTTTTTTGTAACTGTCCTTGAATTCAAATGTTTACATACATTTGGTCAGTATCAGGAATTTTTGAACCTCTATCATTGGATCAAACCATTTGAGTTTCATTCCACAAGTTTCTCAGTATTTGGTGGCGTTTTGGCTCCGTCCTCCTGACAGATCTAGTGGAACTGAGTCAGGTTTGAGGGTCAGCTCACTCTCACACGTCTTTTCAGATCTTCCCACATCTTCTCCATTAACATGGAGGCTTTGTGATGGCCTCATCAAAACCTTGACTTTGTTGTCCTTTAGCCCCCTTGTCTTCACTTCGGCTGCATGTTTAGCATCATTGTCCATTTGGAAGACCGATCTGTCCTTTTACTTCCTGGGTGATATCTTCAAATATTGCTTCAATGCTTCTACATAATGTTCTTTCTACATGATGACATCAGTTTTATGATTTGCACCAGTTCCTCCTGCAGCAAAACAGCCCCACAATGCTGTCATCCCCACACTTCACAGTTTGGATGGTAGAACCATGCCTGATTTTCCTCCAAATATAACAATGGTCGTTATATCCAAACAGGTCAACTTTAGTTTCATCAGACTGCGGGACATGTCTCCAAAAATGAAGATATTTGTCCCAGTGGACATCTATGAGCTGCAATCTGACATTTCTTTAAAAGTGACTGTTCCTTTCAGCCCATGTCAGCACAGAACAGTTTTGACTGTGGACACTGACTCTGTCTGGCCAGCTTCAGCCACAATTAACCCCAGAGGGTTGATCTGCACATTTTGGACCAGAATCCGTTCGTCTCTGGTAAAAGAACCCATCTCCTTCTTGAGCATTTTAATGCTCAAGAAGGAGCATCTTCTTGAGCTCCTTCTGGAGAATGGATAATAATTTTATCTTTGCATAAAATTATTTGAATGGATGATAGCAACTACAAGTATCAATCAGTCAGTTGTTCCCAAAGATGAACCAGACATGCAGCTCCACGATTCTCTTCCTGATATCTTAGTGGATTTCTTTTGACTTTCCTGTCATGTCAAACAAGAAACAGTGTGTTTCAGGTGTGGCCTTAAAACACATCCACAGGTATGACTCCAATTAACTCAACTGTGTCAGTTTTTGCTTTGTGTATCAGAAGGAAACCCAAAAGGCATAACCCAATTCATACATTTTAAAAGATATTTATCCCTGATACTGACCAAATGTATGCAAACTTCTGAATTTGAAGAAAGTTACAAAAAATCTCAAATATTGTTCTCACTGGGATGTAGCAAATGGAAATTACTTTAATTTCAATTGAGACCCTGATAAAAAAAAATGTGCACATGATTTTTATTCAGTGTAAGTAAATATGAACTGTCCATGAAAAATGTACTATTTAAGTTTTATTTTCAACAAATGGATATTTTGTCATGTACCTCCACCTGCTTCATTATCAAGTGAATATTAAGATATTGCTTTTAACCTGCCAACATTAGCCCTGCTAATTCCACCACAACATGCCCAGTTCAATGTATTAAGTATAAACCTAGATTAAGGGTTCAATTTACCTGTGTTTTTCTGCAACAGGTTCATCTTCCTTGGTTTGCTGGGTTACCAAATGGGCATCTGTTTCCAAATCTGAAAAGGAAGTTATTCCAGGCCTCTGTTCTGACTGTGTGCGACGGGTTGAATTCTCTCTTCCTCTTGTGGACAACCTGCCTCGAGAAATTTCCCCCCATTTTCTGGGGAGAACAGAACTTCCAAAGGACAGGCAGGACTGGGAACTTTTTAACTCGTTTTGACAGAAGACTGAGCGGGCATCATGAAAGGACATATGAGGAATGATCTGTTCTGTGCTGTTATCATTTGCATGTGTAACTTTTCTCGGAGAATTTGGGCGAGAAGAGGATCCAGAGTTGGGATGCTGTCTGAAGACAGGGGGATGTGGAACAGTGTGGTGCACAGTAGGACATGATGGTGGCAAGCGCACTCTTGAAACAGGTGGTGCTATGATGGGCAGACTGCAGGAGGGTATCTCGTTGCTTTCACATCTTGCAGCTTGAAGGGATGTCAAATCTCTTGAGACTGGAATTTGAACATTTTTTATGTCGGTGGATTCTCCTGCATTGCGCAAATGGATAATCGTTCTTGCTTGTTTGTAGATTCTTTTTGTTTTCTCAGTTTGTTCAGACAGATCTGTTTCCAGTTTCAACTTTTGATGTTGCAGCTCAGTAGCTCCCTCATGCCGAACAGGAGGGGCGGGTGATGCAGCCATTGATCTAATTTTAACATTTGCTTTGTTTGGCAGAACTTCCACATTCTGCATAACTATCTTCCTTCGCTGGGAAATCCCAGTGGTCTGGTGTATTAACGGAAGAGTCAGAACCGGATCTTCATGTAACTTTTCATTTTGTAGTCGGTCTTCATTGCGTCGAAAGGAATTGTCCATTAGAACTTCCAGGGGTGGCGGTGGTAGATTATCCATATCTAGGTCAGCCCTGCCATCTGGAGAGCTGCTGCTGTTGTTGCCAGAGACAATGTCGTCTCCTGTCTTATTAACTATTCTAGACTCTAGAAAAATACAACTTTTATTGGGCCTGATGATGTGGGGTGCAGTTTGTGAAAGACTCTGTCCAGGTCTCCCATCAACCCCTTGGCTAAATGTATTTATGAGCCTTCTGACTGAATAGCACTTTAGTGGTTTATTTGATGGTGAAGATAAAGAACCAGATAGTCGATTGGCCCTGTCTTGGCATTTATGTTCACCTGCTGATCCATCCAACGAATATCGTCGATGTCCAACTTCATACAAATTGCACTGCGGCTTTACAAAGTCAGTTAGTCCTTGCATTTCAGAAATTATATACATTTTTTCATCCAATTCCATCTGACTGTGTTGTTGCTCTGTTATTTTATGGTGTTCAGCATTGAAAAGTTGTTTGAAGGCAGGCTGCTGATCTTTCATGGAGTTTCCATACATGTGACGAAGAGTGTGACAGGGATCTGGTGGAGAAGAGTTTGATCTCTTCCTCTCAAACTGGTCAATTTCATCACCTTGATATTTTTTTGCATGCCGCTCTTCATCCTCTTCCTCCTCCTCTTCATTATTTCTAGTACTACTAACAAAACCAGCTGAATAATTTTGATATATACCCCGAATGTTGACTTCAGACCCACAACTTCCTGATCCAGCACTCCCACGGTGGCCATGGTTCTTTTCAGATCCTGTCAGACTCTCACTCTCTCCACCAATACCACTGTCCTCACTGTGCAGTGCAGAATCTTCTGGGTAAGACTTTTTAATAGCCACTGTCTCAACCTTTGCAAGTACTTGAGCCAACCTAAACTCTGCAGTCTGCTTAGCCTGAAGCTTCTCAGAATACAGTTTAGAGAGGGAAGAGAAATAATCTATTCCCTCCTCAAGTGTAGTATCACTCCGAGTCTTCACTGAGATTTTAACTTGCCTGATTTTTTCTGATGAATCCTGAAGTAGTTGATGTAAAAGATCTGGTGATGGGTCAAAATTATCCACAGGTTTAGCCGAGCATACTGCTTGAGCAAACATCCCAGAAGGTAAAGTCATGCTGTCCCCATGCTCTTTGAGCATCAGCTCCCCTTCTTCAGCCATCTCCTCTAGTGCCTGGTTAATTTCCTCAAAGTACAACGCCAAAGCAGACATTGGGGTTTGGAGGGATAGTTGTGTCTGGGTAGCCTGGTCCAGAAGACCCAGAAGAATTTCGTATTTGGAGATATTTTGGTTCAGGAAATTGTAAGCAGCCTGGTGAGCTCTCACCATATGTGGTGGCAAACTCACTTTTGTTTGCACTATAGAAGACTTTCTCTGCCTTTCTGTGGATCTCTTCTTCATGTTTTTCTTTCGGGTCTCCACCTTCTGATTCATAGGCATTTCCATGATATTTCCAATTATTTTCTGAGGCTTTTCATTCATCCTTGTTGCCTCAGAATCATTTTCATTTTCAGGAAGTATTGGATCAGGGTCCAGATGAGTCACTGAAGTTTCTTTTGAGCAGTATTCATCAGTAAGTAGTGGCAGTTCCTCTTCCTTGTGTGGAGGTTGTAAACATGTGTCTTCATCCAGTGCAGGTCCACCATTCGCAACCTCCTGTAATTCTTCAGTGACCAGGGCATTCTGAAAATCAAATTGATGTGGCTTTGAAAATAACTTTCCTTTTGACGGTGAGCAGCCCATTTTCAAAAGCAAAAGTGTTATGCAGGAAAAGGAAAGAAGGTCTCTGCAATGAAGAAAAGATTTTATCCAGTATCACCTTTTTGATTCCAGTCTTACAGAAAGTTTTCTTTTGCCTGTTTTACAATTTTCTCTCAAAATCCAGTTGCAAACTGCACAGTAAAGGCGACACACAGGATACTGAAGGAAACGACTAGCAGTGTTTACAAAGAAGTGCAGAAGATAAGTCAGATTGTACAGGTGGGTGCTGGTTGCACAGATGGCCACAGTAAGTGCATTACCATCCAGGTACGTACACACATACACATACACACACCTACACACACTCACACAGCAGGGAATTTATGTCTAAGACTTTAAGCTCATCAGGTTAATCAGAGTCAGGTTGTCAGTGTGTTTTTAGCTTCATCTACTGGCCTGCTGGTCAAGTTTACAGCCTGATGAACCTATTTCTAATAATGGCCATTCAAGACCTGAAAAATGCCCAGCAATTCACATGTAGTATTGACATGTATGTCTTGTCTGTGTTTTGTTTCATAATCATTTGCACCAAGAAGCAAGTTTTCAAAAGATCTTATTGTCTGTCATCTTGAAATTTATCATTTACTTTATTACCACACAAATCTATTCAGATTTGCCTGACTGTGCATCATTTACAAAAAGAAAGGACATATTTAAGTACAGCTAGGCCTGTCATGATAACAAATTTTGCTGAGTGATTAATTATCTCAAAAATAATTAAACAAACAATAATATTGTTTGAAGACCTTTTCACACTGATTTAATGGAAATGACATTATAATGCATACACTGTCCTGCCAAAGTTGGATACATTTTATTTTCAAAAGAACACTTAACACCGGAACTGATGCACAAAATAAACAAAACAACCAAAAACAAAAAGGATTCTCAGTCTCCATTAACAAAAAATTTACTTGAATAAAACTAAACTACATGAAGCCAAAGTGGAAATAAATACTGCATTCAACTACAAGAGTGTAGATTATGAAGTCTGTAAACTATATTGCCCTTCTGTAAATCATTAACTTTAAATAGAGATGCCTGGTTTTAAAATGAGTTAACTGGACTTGTAGCCATTATTTTGTGCACATTGTTGACGATCGAACCGGATCGAACAGTTATACCTAGGATTTCTGTCGGCTAATGTGTGATCTCTCAGGTTTTGAAAATGGACCAACAATTGACCCACAACTCTTAAGATTGTGTAGTGTGCGCTGGGCATTACCCTAAGGAAATGAGTGTCAGTGGAGAGCACTGGAGTTGAGTTTCTTTTCACTCAGTGTCATCAACAGAAAGAGAAAAAGGCTGTTAGAAACAATAAAGCCGATAATTAAAATTAAATTTCCATAAAAATCTTTGGCAAAATCATGACAGGACACTTCAACCACCTTGCCTGCTGGCAGAGGTGGTTCTAGTCTGTTTGGTACCCTCCCCTTGTTCCCACTGCACTGCACCTGACTGCAGTGGTAGACTGGGTGGGGTGGGGTGGGTTGGATTGGGTGGTGTAATGCATTAGCAGCTTCATCAGAACTCTTGCTGCAGCATTTTAGATTAGCTGAAGGCTTCTAACTGCACTGTGTGGACTTCCTAATGGAAAAGAGTCAGCCAGCCTTGAAGTAACAAATACATGGATTAGTTTTTCAGCATCGTTCCAGGGTAGGATCATTCTAATGTCGGCGATATCTCAAAGATGACGAAAGGAAATCCTAGATTCTTGTTTAATAAGAGATTTAACTGATATATCCTGGTAAAAATAAAAATAACCAGAAGTAAATTACACTATAAGAGGCCAAATTAATCCCATCCAGGTCAAGTGATTGTGTAACACTTTCCTCAGACTACAGAATTGAAATAATTACATTTAGAATATTCTACAAAGCCTGAAGTAACAGGCTTTGTGCTGTTACTTGTGCTGTTGACGAACATATCAAAAACTATATTTGTTTATATGTTAGCAATGACTTTTCTCTGTCATTATTTAATGTTGTTGAGATATTGTACCCAATAGTCTCAAAGTAAGTCATTTTATTTATATAGTGCTTGTCACAAACATAAAATCACAAAGCACTGTACAATACAAATTAACCTTAAAAAAACCCTACAAAACCACCAGAAGAAACGCAACAGAAAGCTAAACAGTCGCTTAATATCATAGGAAATAAAGAGACTCAGTAAAGGTCCTCCACCATTGTGAAAATTATAAAAAGAAACTGAACATAGAAATAATGCTCCTAATGAACCCAACACCTATTTATTCTTCAATGTTTTTCTACTTTATGTAGAAAGCTGACATCTTTGCAGATAGTGTCTTCATATCACTTCAGTGACAAAGACAAAATCAGAAACTGGGATTTAAAGATCATTCAAGCTTTATTTTATTTTTTTTGCCACTTTCCTGGCGATGTCAGTTGACTTTATTTTTGCATTAATGCAATAAAAAGGTTTTGCTTCCTTGAGCTGCAGTAAGGAGTCGATATGAAGCCGAAAAGGCACAGTACAGACATGACTTTCAAATTCTTGATGGTGTTATGAAAATTTTAAATGTCTAAATTAAAATCAAACATGGCTGTCCAAACATGGCTGTCTCAATTTTTATGTTTGATTAGAGCAAACGTGTTAAGCAACATTTCCTCATCGGTCAAAAGAAGAAATCCAAAAAGAAAGTTCAGAAGAAAAACTTTTTTTCTTTTTCATTATTTTTCACAATTCTTTCTCAAATGAAAGCGATTGATCAGCCTCTGCTCAAAATTTTAAATACAAAAAAACAAAACATGTACAATTCCTCTTGAACCATGAAGTTTTTTAAGACAAATAAATAAGCTCAGTTCCTCACTATACCATTTATCCGGACAGTCTTTGACCTCAGGCTTTGGTGGTTTTTGAGATTTCTTGGTTCCAGTCGGTGTCAAGGACGTCACTAGAAAAGTCAGTAAGACCAGAAAAAGAAAAACCTGAACGGAACGGCTTAGACCCATCATTATGTAGTGGTGGGCCCAGATTAAAGCATTTCCTTTTCCTCATGTTCACCTCACTGTTGCTTACAGGTTTTGCATGTTGGTTTGGAACATGAGAAAGGTCCGACTGCTTTAGTTCGCACTTGGACATTTCTGTTTCATGAGGAACTCTTTCCAAATTAGTCTGGGCCGGTGTAGGTTTGGTTGTGCAGTGTTGTGATTCTCCATTATTTAGCTTTTCCATTTGTTTCTTTTTCTTTGCTTGTGGCAAGTCATCGTGACTAGCCGTAACTGACATCTGCATATTTGTCCTTTTTTCTCTTAATGTTTCTGCTTTATTACCACTGTGGTCAGTTTGTTTCCTATCACGGGGTTTGAAAATAAAAGCTGACAGTTTTGTGTGCAGGTCTGTAAATTTTCCATCTTCGACCGCCATCTTTTCACTTAGCAAAACATTATTGTTGTTCTTCTCAGGCAGGCGTCTCTGTTCTTTTTCTATAACTCCGCTTTGCTCTGCTCTCAGTGCTGATGATACTGACCAGCTGTTGTTTGGTGCATTATTTATGTTTTCTGGGGTTGATGTAATGATGGGTAGGATGACATCATCTGGGGACAGTGAGGGATTTGTGGCAGGAAGCTGGTCCAAACAAGTCTTCACTGTTACACAGCTCTTTAGGTCATTGGAGGTTTCAGAGTCTGAACCTTGTAGTTGATGCTGGTCTGTAGAAAAAGACAGGTCACACATACCAGCCTCTGGGGTGTTGCTCCGCAGCCTAGCAAAGACACAACATCCACAAAAATGCATTTTATTATGATATACAAATCTGGGTTTGCTAATTGCACTGCCCACTGCACAAGTGATGAGATAAAAATATACAGTGTTAGAAGCTTCAACATGAACCGCTATATTATATAACTCATCTAACATAATCATAGGTTCTTTCTTCAGCCGTTTTTAAATAAACTTACAAAGTTAAGCACCCAGAACTTAAAAAATAACTTTCACAATTTACTATTCACTTTTTAAAACTTATAGCAAATAATATTTTCTAATATGAAAGATTCTTTGCCAATTTACCTGCATAGCAAGAATATTAAGTACTACATTTAATAATAATACTTTGCTGAGCTCCCTCGGTCGTGTACTACTATTTCGTTTCTTCTTGTACCTCCCTCACCCTCTCCTTACTGTTTCGGTTTGAGTCACACCAAACAGAGACAAGTGGAGTCCCAAACTTTAAAATCCCAAGATCCGCTCTACCATCATCATCCATGTTTACTTCCACAAAAACTGAGCTGCACTGCATGTGGAGTTACTGCGCTCTCAGAAATGAGGGGGCTATGTGTATATAAAATGGTAAAATGACTGGATGACCTGAAGGAGCATATCAAATAAAGTCAAGTCTAGTCAAGGGCACCAATGTGAAAGTTCTTTGCAGCCCTTTAGTCTTTGGTTGATTGGTTGCTCACCTGGCCAGCCGCTCCATCTCATTTTGAAGAAGCTCAGGCAGGTTCAGTCCCTCTAGGAGTATCTGACACTGGGTTTGATACTGCTGAAGGGGGTGGGTGGGGAACGTTGTTAGCAAAGAGTTTACATTTCCCAGCAAAGCACCACCCTAAAGGAAGAATGCACCAGACAGTTAAAGACTGCCACAGGACTGAAAAATAAAACAAGACAATACAACATGGGGGCACAGTCGACACACCATTAGTGTCTGCAACATCCATGTCGCAAAGGACTGCTTGAGTGCAGAAGTTTTTGGCAAATATATTCCAGAGAGGACAGAGTGTCACTGCAGAAAATGCTCAAATAACCCTGACAAAACTGCCAAAGGTCACAGCGAAGGAAGAACACATGAGAAAGAGAGGCATAAAGGCATATACTGCAAATGATATTTACCAACATTATTGTCATCACTAGATTTTCTAATATTAAGCAGCTCAAAGTTTTAATAGTTTGAGCCCACTGTATCCTGGGTATCATTCTGGCATGAGCTCATGACATGAGCAAAACAAAACCATGTAATAACTGCTCAGAACTGCTTAGCAGGCAACATGGCATCTGATGAGTCCTTTCAGCTTACATGAAACTTGGATTTTAGACATGTGAATATAATGTCACCTTCCCTGATTTCCCAAACATCAGGAGATGCATGATCCGAATCATTGTGAACGACTTCCTTTGTTGAAGAAAGTTTTCAGGTTTTAATGAGTTTGAAATCCTCAAATCAACTCAAATGTACATTGCTCTCACAACCAGTCAAACATATTTTAATTTCTTGAGCCAAATTGAGACTCAGCCACATCATGTGACCAATCACTATACCATTTTTCCTTTTTTTTTTGTGAAAACGTTATAATTATAATACTGTATATTTATAAATAAACCAAAGCAATCAAAAAATAAACTAACTAAACTACAAAAGTCCAAGGTCTTTTGTTTTCTGCAGTGTATTCCACAGTAGGGAGAACAAGTATTTTATACTGTGGCAATTGTTCAAATTTTCCAACTGCAAAGCATGTAGAAGTCTGTTATTTTTATCAGCTACTCATCAAATGTGAGTGATGGAATCTGAAACTAATATCCATAAAATCACATTGTATGACTTTTAAGTAATTAATATGCATTTTATTGAATGACATAAGTATTTGATAAGCTACAAACCAATATCAACGCCATCTCTCACAGGCCTGTAAGTTATTCCTTAAACCCTCCTGAATCCCTCATCTAACTACTTGCCTTATAGTCACTTGTTTGAACTTGTTACCTGTATAAAGACACCTGTCCAAATACTGAAACAAACTCCAATGCATAAATAAAAAATACACACATTGACATCTACAACTTTCATTATGAAGTAATTGAGAATAGATAAAGTATCTGTAGATGAATATAACAAAGAGATGAATAATAGTGTTCCCAGTCCTTGAGGGCCACTGTCCTGCAGTTTTTCGATGTGCCACAGGTACAAAAAACGCAGGAATGAAATGGCTTAATTACCTCCTCCTTGTGTAGATCACTTCTCCAGAGCTTTGCTAATCACCTAATTATTCTATTCAGGTGTGGTGCAGCAGAGGCACATCTAAAAGTTGCAGGATACCAGCTCTTGAGGGCTGGATGTTGACACCCCTGCTGTAGCTTTTTAGGTTTTCATACAGCCTCATGTTGGACAGCAAAATATATAAACTGAAGACGCTACAACTGAAGACGCTACAGCCATGTAATGGAAAATACTGATAATGTATCTAAAGATAAGAACATTAAAGAGATTATCATCCAAAGGATCATCACTTATGTAGTAAAATGGGTCAATCTGTTTTCTCCTTACCTGCATGGAGCACTCCATGACTGACACGGCTGTAACGGCATCTTCGATAGTAACAGTCTCTCTGTACATGAGCCGGGCATGTGCTGTGCAAAGTTTAAGAAAGGAGCAGACCTCTGTCAATATATGCAGGTGTTTCACAAATCCTTTCCCCCTTACACTATGGGGGCGATGGCACTATGATGCCATCTGGAAACATGCATATTTTTAAAGATTTTTTCAGATTTCCCTTTCTTTTATGTTCATCTACATTTCTGAAGCACAAGCAAGTGTCTTTAATCATGTCACATATTTCAGTAGCCAAAGGTAAAGGATTAAAGCCGCTGTTTTCACTGACAGTCCACTAAGTTTGAACTTTTGATTGCCATAATGTAAAGCGAAATTGTTTTGGACTTCTGTTCTGTTCTCACCTTCAGCAAGTCTGCTCAGACTCTCCAGCATACGAATAGTTGTGCGGGCGGCACTGTGACCATCTCGTTGACGCTGCAGCTGGTAATAACGAGTCAGGATGCAGTTGGCTTCTTCAGACACCTGAGGCTGAAGGTGTTTAATCACACTAAAATAAGTTTTCATTTTCTCCATGGACCAGAGCCCACTGGCATCAGCTGGAGTTCCTGAGAAGTCATGGGGAGACATATACTGATACTGCCTGTAATGTATGTCAGATTAGAAGGAGAAATATAGCATGAATATCATCACAGATAACTAAAAATTATTCAAAACTAGATCGAAAAAAAATAAAAATTGTACTCCTACCTCGGTCCTCAAGAATAAAAGAAGAGATGATGCGGTCCCACTCAACATTTTTGGTGTCCAGCAGAACCAGAACCAAGTCGAACCGGCTGAGCAAAGGACTGGCCAGAGCCACATTCACAGAGAGAGGCTGACTGGGATCATACTGTCCTTTGGGGTTGGTAGCTGCCAAAATGGTGGTTCGAGTATTTAGCTTGCACACCATCCTGTAATAAAGATTATGAGTCAAGAGATGGACACAAAAAGTGTAAATAGATTTTATCTACACATATCCCATGACAGTATCATTTGTATTCAACCATAATTTATACTCCAGTTTAATTAACACATCTATCTTAATTGTATGGTGCCCACATGGAGAAAAGAAAAACAAAATCCTGATTTACTTTTGCTAGATTCTGCAAAAGTTTTGAGAAATCCCAATTTTTTTCTTCTGCAAGATCCAACGGGACATAATCAAGGTGGAAATTGTCACTCGCCATTGACCAAGTGAGGGTAGATGTATGAAGTTGCCAAAGAGACTGTAGCAGAAAAATGTACAGCAGATAAAGTATGTGTTCCACACAAAATTCAACCGCTAGAGCAGATTGAGGAGTAGAGAAGGAGGCAGAATTAGCACTACAGGGAATTTGTTGTAATCGATGAGACATAAAAAGAGATGTGGCTGGGGACAGAGAGAGGAACAGGACAGACTAGCTGCTGTCAGCCCAGTGAGAAAGAGTGGAAATGTTCATGAAAAATGAACACTTCATGCAGGGAGGAGAGCAGATGTGTGAGTGAATGTAAATATACATACCCAGCTTTGGCTACGCTGATTGACTGCTGCTCCATCGCTTCATGAATGCTGATTCGATCATGTTCTTTGATGCTGTTGAATTCATCAATGCAGCACAAACCACCATCAGACAGGACAAGTGCTCCAGCTTCCAGGTGCCAGTCACCTCCATCCTTTACTGCAGCAACCGTCAGACCTTCACCAGGACAGAGAGAACAAAAAGACACCAGGAGATTTTCAGATTGGCAAAGTAGAAAATATTCTATCAGAAAAATTAAGGCTCTGAGAAACAGCAGTGTTCAAAAGTATGTTAAAAAGGAAGTAAAGCTCCTTACAACTACCTTAATGTTCAGACGCCATTGCATTGTGAGTTCACACACATTCACACACTGATGGTGGCCTGCCACAGCTGACAAAGGCCAGGCAACTTTACATTATCTCTAACCCTTGTTTTTAAAATGTACAAACTTTGGAGGATTTAAGGGAATGGTGGTAACTCTGGAACCTCATGGTTGGATTGACATCCTAAAATTTGGCTGGTCATGTATTCTTACTGATCTATGACCTCTAGCACGTAATAAATAGTATGAGAAATATTCCCATGCAATAATAGATTAATCACCGTGCTTCACAGTCTACTGTGACTGGAAGTCAGCATTCATTTTCCACTGACAAATGGAAATGGTTCCCTTCAATCAAAAGAAACAAGCAAGAAATTTGCTTTCAAAAGGCCATAAAGTTGAATAAGTTCTACTTAGATCAACCACTGTGTTATTGGCAAACTATAATCTCTTCATTTCAACAATGCAACTTTGTGAGGGCTTCCAACAACAGAAATCCCAGTTTGTTTGTTTTTTGCAAGATCCAACGGGTCATAATCAGGGGTGGAAATTGGCGGGTGTCAATTAAATACACAAATACTCAAAAGTATTTGTAGACCTTCTGTAGACCTAGGGTCTATCATTAGGTAAGAACTTATCATTTTCAGGTTTCAGAAATACTTTATTTATGCCAAAGGGCAACTAAATATGAACTCAAATCAGGCCAGACTGCCAAACACCGGCACTACCAGGGCATCTGACCAGCAGCGGGAAGGCAGGTAAAGTGTCTTGCCCAAGGAGACAACGACAGAGGTACAGTAGATAGAGCAGGAACTGAACCGGCAACCCAGAAATTGCAGGACAAACTCTTAAAACCAGCAACATCAGTGTAATAGAAACCCTGCTTATAATGTTTCTATAAAACACTATAAGCAGTGTTTTTCAGAAAACATTGCTAATGATGTGGAAAAATTATCACCTGCACTGGTTGATCCAATTCCTGCTGTAAGTACAGATCGGGATATTATCTTGGCTGCATATTTCAGAAACTGAGATTTTCCTGTACCAGGATCACCAACCAGCAACAAATGGCATTCTCCTGTGAATTACAAGAGACATCACACAATCACATTTTGTTATTTTTGTGTTTTTATGATGTAAAGCACTTTGAACTGCCTTGTTGCTGAAATGTGACGTACAAATAAACTTGACTGATTAATTTTTTGTTTAAATTGTTTCCAATAGTAATGAATTGAAATCAAGACTTAAATATGGCTTTACAAGGAAACTCAGACATTTTACAATGAAATCAATCATTCTGATACAGTCATGTGCTGATTAATGCAAACAAAAAAGACAAATACCTCTAACTTTGGTCCCAGAAGAGTCTATTCTCTGGACTCCACCCACCAGCACCATCGCCACAGCTAGCTTAATTACATACATGCCAAAAACCTGCGGACATAGGCTTAACAAGATCTCATTCCTACCTACAGAAAGAGATGAGGTCAATCACAAAATGCAAGTTACCACAAGAAATGGAAAGATGTTTTGTCAAAGGGCAAAAACACTAACCAGCCAGTGGATTCTGCTTGTAGCTGTCCCAGAACTCTTCAAATTCTTTCTGAATATCTTTTACCATCAGAACAGCAGCAGTCTGGTGATTATTTGCCTCTATGTTGTTAGCTCTGAGGACTAACTCCACATCACAGGGGGAACCATCATAAAGGGGCTTCCAGCGGAGATACATTACACCATAAACCGTTATGTCATCTCCTGTAAACATATATTTTAATGAAAAAAATACTTCACTTTCTTCTGAGTGAAGTTTTTTGAATTTGAATTTAATAATACATACATTTATTGGGTTATTTTGGTTGCAAAGTTGACACGCATTTGAAACACTTGTTGTGCAGACAAGCAGGCTGGACTGTGGGTGTGTGTGTGTGTGTGTGTGTGTGTGTGTGTGTGTGTGTGTGTGTGTGTGTGTGTGTGTGTGTGTGTGTGTGTGTGTGTGTGTGTGTGTGTGTGTGTGTGTTTACGACAGGTCTACAGGAGGAAACCCACTTCAGCCCCGTCACACTCCAGGAATAAATTCATCAGAGACTACACAATGCAGGATAGCTTAGGAAGAAGCAGGGATCATCTGTCTTCAGATATCCTCTTATGAGGATATCCAGGTTCAGATTTCTGGATATCCTCATAACAGCATTAGATGTTTGGGCAACTGGCTTACAAACAACTGAGCTGATGTCATTTCAGAGTTGGCACCAATGGAGGGTGGAGGGGAGCGTGTGCTACTACTGCTCAGATAACACTAGTAATTTATGCAAGAAGGGATCAGAGTAGAGCCGCTGCTCCTCCACACCGAGAGCCAGCTGAGGTGCACAGACACTGGTTCGGATGCCAGTGAGGTGTCTGGGACAACATCCCAAAGGAAGGAGAGTCAGATGAAGACCCAGGACATGCTGGAGCGACTGTGTTTCTCAGCTGCCTTGGGAACGATTTGGGATTCCCCTGGAGGAGCAGGACCAAGCGGTTGGAGCCAGAAAGGGAATGTAGGCCTGTTAAGGATAATGCCCCAAGAACCCAGCGCTAAATTAAGCAAAAGATAATTAATAGATATTTTTGTTGGTTTATTAAAGTGCCAAAAGCACTAAGTAATGTAACTATGCTCCAGATTTCAACAGTTTCTTGCACTGAATCTGAAAATTTCAAAACTTGTTAGGAGAAAATGTCAGTCTTTTGTTAGATGTACTTTACAAATCCTTTGGCTGCTGATTCATACCTGATTTACAGCTGTCAACCAGGTCATCCTCCAGCACTACCATTAAGGAACGAGGAATACTGCCCACTGACAGCCTCTGAACCTGTTGTAAGAGAGGGTAATTTCATTTTCTAATGGAGATTTAAAAGAAACCTCTAACTGGTTATTTTAACAAACTTTAAACTTCATTTTAACAGAAATAAAGAAAGGAGTTATATGCTAATGTTCCATACTTGCTCTTGTATCTTAATTTCCTGGTAGTCCCTGCAGACAGCAGGTTCTGACCCTCCAGAGAGACAGCTGAAAGTAAAGGAATTACAGGCAGCAGGATTTGGGCAGCCCACCGGCTGGACGAAGGTGTAGAACTGGTCAAAATCAGCCTGCACCTTGAAAACATGTCGGCACTTTGTACACATGTAATCACGCTCAAACTCCAGAACCTAATAAATACAGAACAGCAAAAACACAAAAAGAACATCCCAGCATTTATTTATGTGACTCCTCTTACTATATTTGTAAATCCTACAAATGTTTTAACTTTGGAGATATGTCAGATGTTACTTCAATCAGGAGACAAAAAGAGACGATTCATCCATGAACGACAACGACTTTTTCCTATTATTGTAGGACCAAGCTCAGCTTCTTTCTGAGGTTTTTGTTTTGGACATTTAACAATGGGTACTTTTCAGTTCTGGATGTGTTACTTATGAGAACCTTTCCCACATGTGGACAAAACTGTTGGTATTTCTGCATTTCAACAAATTACCAAAATCAAGACCATTTTGGATTGGATTAGGAGACGAAATGACAGACAAATGTTGCACCAACAGTTCAATTTGCTGAACTAAATCATAAACAAAAAACAGACATCCTGATTCAAGAACAGAGGATCCTTAGATGGACTGTATGTCTGAACAGTTAACATGTGATTTCTTACCTTAGCCACACTAGTACGTATGACAGTACCAGTAACAGACAAAAAGTGACCCACATCTCTGGACCTTGGAATGGTATGTCTGGTTAGTTCCGGACACACTGGCAGACCTGGGATTAAATGGGTTCAAAAAGACAAGAAAACCATAATTGAACACAGAACATCCTAAATTTTATGAGTGCATTTGGGGGAAAGAATATACTATATTTTTTTTCTAAACTAAGAATCAGTAATATTTAATCCTTAACTTCTCCATTACACTACTTCTAGTGCTTTAAAAATCTAACGTTGAATATGCAGAAATATAAATCCATCAATAAGAGAATGAATGAATAACATTTATGTTGTTACAACTGATCAAAATGAGATAAAAATGCAATGCAATGCATGCAATAGTGAGAAACAAAACAGCATAAAACAAGCAGAGCTCGGTCAGCAGCTGGATGTCTGACCTGTAATGCGGGTGTGATATATCTGCTTCAGGCTTCTCTGACCTGCTCCATGTCCTTTCTCTTTGAGAGAAGCCTCATCTGTTAACTCTGAAGCTTTTTTTCGTAATACTTTATCAAATACAGCCAAGACATCTTTTGGATATGCATTGAAATAATCCCCAACCTAAAAAAAGGCAGAAGAATATCAGTGCATTGCAGCATGGTAAGACATGTGTACCCGTTTGCACTAGTTGGCTATGTAACACACAGACTGTACTTGGTCTCTTTTCGAAACCAAAATCAGCCCTGACACTGAAGGATGGACTAAGATTTCAGGAGCAGTTTCAATGGATACCACAAACATCACATGAATGTTAACCCAATTCAACATTACAGACTCAGGAAGCTGTTTCTCAGACTAATACTGGTGTCGTTTTTGCAGTGTAGGAAGGTCTCTTCAGTCGCTTTAGGCAAATTACTCAAAAGTTACTGAAAACAGAACATTGTAACATTTTAAGATTTTTTTAAATCACCAACTTCTGTTCTTTCTGTTAAAAAAAATTATATAAGCACAAGTAGTAGCTATCAACAACTGATAGAAAGTGGATAAGACCAATGCACCAGATCAAAACTGGTCACTCAATGTGTCCTTCTGTTACAAACAAAACTCATATCTAACATCTAAAGGCCATTACCTCTGCTTTAATCAAAAAACTGTAAATTATGTCAACAATACCTCCATATTGGCTTCAAAAAGTGTCATGGCGTTAACCACAACAGAGCGATGAGTGTCTTCATTTACATCAGTACTAAGCTGAAGAATGTCACCATGATGATGCTCCATCAGATAGTTTTCAAACACTCGACCAATCAGGGCCTCCTCCTCAGGGCTTATAAACATAGTGTTGGCTGAGATCTGAAAGCCAAGCAGATGTCAGTGTGCCATGTGGAGAACCTTACATTAGAATTCAGTAGAATTATGATTAATGAGGTACCTTATTACAAAATTATATATCATTAAGGGTATGATGTATCTACTCTAGTGATGTTTTAACTTTGAGAAACATTAGTTTTGTTATTTTATCCTTCTCTACATGTTACAGCAGAAAGGTTATTTTATTATTAAAAAAAAGAACACTAGAATTTGCTTCATAAGAGGATGATCACGTCGGTGTAAACTTGATGCATATAAACAACATTAAATATGCCGTTATCAACAAGCAAACGGCTATGTGTTCGTTTCAACATGTCCGATAAAATACTTTTTGCTCTCATTGTTACACATGACTATAACGTTCTGAACCTCCTTGCGCCTGCGCGCTCTCGGGGCGCGAAATTCCGTCGTGGATAATTACCTAGGGCACGACACCTGGTTCGACAGGACGCGCACTTACCGGTTGTGGCACGTTCAGAAAATTAACTAAGTAACTACGCGGTTATGAATCTTTTATAACCCGTCAATTAAAATTATTTTTCTTGCCCTATTTAGTTAATGGATGCAGTGAGACGGGTCTTGTAGACCTAAGTAGAGAGCATGTGGGTTATTGAAAAATGTTTGCATCACAGAGTAAGAGGGCTCAAACCTGCTTTTAGAGTCATACTGTCTGAGACTTACCATTTCCACGGACAGCCACTGAGCATCATCATTCCGGGGTTTACATTCCGGAATTTGTTTGAGTTCTTCCTCTTCTTCCTTTTCCTGTGTTTTTGGCAGTTGGCAAGAAAACGGAGAATATGCATTACCGCCACCCAGTGGTAGGGAGTGTGGTTCGTGACGATTTAGGTTTAATTGTGGTATCTATGTACACACACACATTTACTATATATATTCAGGAACATGTAGAAATAAGTTGCAGGAAATATTGGACATTCTAATGTAACATAATCTATTGTTTCATCCTTCTCTGTGATCAGAAGAACAACATTAAGTTTTTGTATTTAAAAAAAGTTTAGAATAATACGTAAGAGGATTAGGGCCACTGAAGAAAATGTTTTTCTTCAGTGGCCCTATTTTTTTTTTTTTTTTTCAGAATTCTGACTTTAAAACAAATGTGAACCTGGGAGGGACCAGCTTTCAGAGGGCGAGGGATCTCCAAAAATACAATTTCAGTAACAGAAGAGCAAATTGGTCCTCAATCAAAAGACGTAGTTAGTTTGGTGTGAAAAATGGCGTACGCAATATATCTAGCGTAGCATCAGGGAATCTGTGATCGATCTCATAGTCTGCTAGAGAAATCTGTGGACGCGCATTCATCTGAATGAAAGCCTGGCTCTGCAGTGGCCCCTTCTGAACTTAGTTGGGTCTTTCTCAGTTCATCCTGGATAGAGCCAGGATGATGATGATGATGATGATGATGATGATGATGATGATGATGATGATGATGTCAAGCCTGGCTTTATCTTTTATCCTGGATTGTGTAACGCTATTTTTGTGTAACAGCCCTCAGGAGTTACCATGTCTGCTGCTGCTGGCTGTGGAGGAGGAGGAAGAGAAGGAGGAGTTGATGTTTCATGCCTGCGTTCTGTAGAGGACGTTCAGCTAAAAAGCTGCAGACTAACAGAAACACGGAGGGTTATTTCTTGAAAAGTTACTTCTTAAAGAACATTACAGACGATGGTTTTATTTGTTCTAGATGAAATCGTGTTTTGAGTCGGTTTCCATGTTTTTTTTTCCGGAAGCTGTAATTTCTCTTTTGTCTTCTGATCGGATTTCGGGTTTCATGCTCCCCGACATCAAACACAATGTGGTACAGAAGTGACTTTAAAGCCGGATTTGAAGCTAATAAAGCAGGTGAGAGGCTTCTAAGCATGCTCTGTATTATAATGCTACCAACAGAAAGGCCCGGCTGCTTGGATTTGAGGACGACGATGAAGTTAGCATCCGACTGACTGCTTCCGATTCGGCCCTTGACGAAAGAGCTATTCCGCTGCATTCATTCATTTAGTACCTTTAATCCGTTTAAGTGCTACATCTTGGAATGGTCAGACTTGAAGTGGTTTGTTTTATATCATTAAACAATTACAAAAATATTGGTTTTAATTTATGAAGCCTGTGAAGGGGTGAGTTTTGGCTCTCTGATATGAAGCGAACTTCATCTCCTGAACAGATTTATTTTACATTCTTTGTATGAAACATGATGTTATTCGGTCCATTTTAGGCACCCAAACTTTAAATTCTACACCACAAAAACGTCTAGAAACAATAACTTTTTTAGGTGTATTTGTAAAATGATGTAAAAAAAAAAAAAATCATTTCTTATAAAGTCATAATCAGAAAATTAAAATATTGCATGAGATAAAGAAAATATATTTTAAACAGAAATGGCAGGCTAGGCATTGGCACAGAAAGAGTGACAGTGGTAGGAAGAAGCCCCCCCATAAAATGCTACCCTGGGAGGTTGTCCGTGTCACCTGTGAATACAAACTCTGGCTCCTGCATCTTACCTTGTTGTTATTGTGCTCCAGTTTTTTTTTTTTTTTTTTTTTTTTTTTTTTCAAACATCCTCTGTTTAACAAACCCGCTGGCCCTCCTACATCATCAATTATTGTAAGAAGGTTACTGTTGGTCATAAACCAAACTACATTTACCCTGTATGTTAAAGCCGTTTCCTTTCTCGTCTTTGCAGCTAAACTTATCCATAAGTACAGCAATATGTTTTTTCTTGTGCCTCTGTCTTCCAGTTGATGCGGCACAAGGGCCGGAGAGGACTTATGTTTGACTGGTCCACTTTAGATGACGGCCTATTATTATAAACATCATCTAACTAACTTTATCTAAGACGTTAAGTCAACTCTTTTTACCAATAAGTAGATGACAAACGTCTCCAGTCTGCATTAGCCCCAACAAGACCGTGTAGGGACAGTTTTTTTGTTGTTGTTGTTTTTTTAATATAAACTTCATAATTAATCTTATTTGTTGTTTTCTTGTTTTATTTTATTTTATTTTATTTGGATATTTAAAATGTCTTCCAGTCCCCATTTTTAATGCTCATTAAAATTCATAATCTATTGATCTTTGAGAATATGTTCTTGCATTATTACGCCACTACCAGGAACTTGAAAATGTTCTCAAAATAGCAATGTTGTTGTTTATTGCTATAACTTCTGGGACAATTTAACATCCAGCAAAATTTGTTATGTCAGTTCTACTACCAGCATGTTTGGTGTCCTTGTTTTCTGCAGGACACCAAATATGCAGTCAGAGGAATTACCACACAGTACACAAGTCAGAAAGCTTTCAGTAGTGCACCAGTAGAAACTATTTAGTAGCTTCCAGAGGATCTTGTAGTGTTTACTTGATGTGTTACTTCAAGGTCAGGTATTCAGTGATTTGTACTACGAGAAACTTAAAAATTCTGGTCTCTTTCCACTAATGCACAGACAATTCATAGTGACCAATTAGCTTTTTAATGTTGTTTCTGGATGAAGCTGGAGAAGCCAGAAAAAATATAAATATATTCACCAGAAGAACTCAACATTCCACCGTGCAATTCTACAGAAAATCTTATTTAATGGAATAATAAAGGCAGAATAAACCCACTGTTTATTTACGGTGGAATAAACATGTCAACTCATGGCAGAGATAGATTCATTATCCATCAGATAAGCGTTTGAGATCTGCAATCTTTCTCACACATCTTTTAATTTTCTCTAATGAAAACACTCCTTTGAATAAAGTTACTGCTGCAATTATTTCTTTGTTTGCAAAATATAAATTGGTGACATTTTCTGGGACAAATTATACTTCTTACTAAATATTCCTTTGTATCACAGGGTGTTCCTGCGTTGTTGTCACCAGAAAAACATTCAAATCATTGTTAAAAACTTATTTTTGTGACAGCAAAAAAGAAAGTTGTATTAAACAAACTATTATTTGTCCTGTGTGGATATCACATAATGTATAACCCATTTGTAAGTTGTATGTACAATTTGTACCATACAAATCTTTGACCTTTTTGGTTTGAATTTTCAGGCCCTAGTTGTGGCTCTGGATGGTTTCCAGGACATGAGTCAAGCTGGCACAGCAGTCTGCCTTGCTCTGGAGGCAGGATCTGTGATGGACGACGACAAAGCTCTGTGTCTGACAGCGGCGACACGGGAATCGGCACCTACTGCTCTGACAGTTTGGAAGGTCGATGTTCATGTGTTACTGAAGCTTAGAAAATGAATCTTGTGACTGTAGTTTGATTTGTTATTGGATTTTCACAGACATAAAATGCAGTATCAGACCTTACCTTAGGGTTTGCACATATGAATATAACTTTTTTTTAATGAAAATTCTGCTTCATGTTTGTAATAGCAAAATCACAAATGCAGTTTTAAAAACCTAATCTGTCAGAGGGTAATCTATTCCTCGATCTAACTCGATATCAGTGCTCACAAGGCACATTGTCCACAGCTCAAGGTTTTTTATATTGTCATGCTTACTACACATTTATACTAATTTTCTTCAACTTATCCAATTTATTTGCTTTGATTAAAAAAATACATAAATATGTTTTATGTGTCTACAGATGACTCCTGTTCCAGTGCAACTCCTCTGTCTTCCCTTCTTCTGTCACAGCATAACTTAAACCAGGAAGAGGATGGCGTCCCTTCAGCTCTCGCCACGTCATCTGCTTCGTCTTCACCAAGAATCCTTTTAAAAATGGCCTCTCCTTCCCACAGCCCCAGCTGTTGGAATATGTCTCGCAATATTAGTAAGCATGCCACATCTTCTTTAGAAGCTCCAAGCAGTTTGGACATGAAAGTGCATCAACCCATCAGAAGGTCATCCTCTTTTACCAAGCTGTCATCAGGGGTTGATAAGAGTTCCACAAAGACATCCAGTTACTGTTACAGCCCAAGTGCTGAGGGTTCGCTGGACAGAGGTGTACTTCATGGTTATAGAAAGAAAAGATGGGATTCAAATGTCAACCTTTACCTACCGTTGTCTTCTACCATGAACTGCAGCAATATTCTGCTGAGATCTCCTGGTGCAGAGCCCAGCTATCGCTACAAACAGAGTAATAGATCTACTGGCTTGAATACAAATCTGGCCCCTTCCTCGTCTCATTCTTCTCCAGTTAAATACAGCTTAAGCTGCTCCAGTTTTTATGAGTCGAAAGATTCTGGGAAAGGTCAGCAAATATGTGGTCTTCATTCATCTAGCTGGGGTGACTGGCCGGTGGCTGAAAACCCTGACACAGGCATACCCATTCAGCCAGCTGTTCGAACCCAGATGTGGCTGACTGAGCAGATGGACTACCAGCCCAGACTGGAGAGTGGAAATGAACCTGGTCAGGCCAGTTCACCAGGTACAGAAGACGATGGTATAAACAGCCTCACATTGTCTCCTCAGGAATCTGGATTTAACCAGGTAAGAGGAGAGTTATATTATTGCTGTTATAAAAGAAATGGTAAGAAATGGACTCTCCTGGAAAGTTGTAGTGATGTGCCATGTTTCTGTTCAATTGTTGCAAGTTTTTGCTAGCCTTTCTGTTTGACTACTCTATGTCCAGCATACTTTTCTTTATCTTTAGGTCTTCCAGCAAACCAGGCTAAATTGGAGCCTTCTCCTAAACTTTTTAAACACAGCTCTATTGAACTATAGTGGCGATGTTATATTTCTCTACCATTTGATATTGATAATGTGTGAAATGTGAATCTGAGTAGATCTCGGTGCAGACTGTCCTGTGTTTATTCAGGTGAAGAAGCCAAAGGTTGCTCTGTTCTGTAGTCTGAGAGGAGAATGCAAATGGATATTCACTTTGATCTTCAGCAAGATCTGGGACATTGAGTCGCGCTGCTCATAGTGGCAGCATTTGGGAGTACTGTAGTTCTGTTTCACTGAGGTCTTTCCTTTGTCAAACTTTCATTCCTGCCTTTATAGAGGAAAATTGCTTTTTTGGACAACAGTTTTTTCTTGTTTTAGATTGGATTGATGTTTTTTTTTTTCATAGTTTGCTATTTTGTTATGATGCATAGCTATAGAGCATTGTGGTTTGGATAAGCTGCACAACTGAAATTTGAAATCCCAGAGGAGTTGAAAAGGAGGCCTTATGAATGCAGAGCAGAAACCAAAGAGAAAGACATGGAGGATGTTCAAACCATTTCTTTCAACATGAGATTATTAGCTAACCAGTTGGATGAACCAGTTGGATGAATTTCAAGCCCTGACAGTATAATGCATTTTACTGACACATGTATTCAGCAAAAGTTTGCGGTTGAGCGATTCACTCTGACCATCCAATCAGAGGGCTGAAAACATCTGACATCACTGTGGGCCTTGGAGCAGGTGTTGTGAATCTGTGAATAAGGAATCTGAAAGTTCAACGGCTAAAATAACCATTCTGATGCTAAATTGTTTACTGATTGGTTAGTAACAGAGAATTTAACCAAAAATGCATTTGAAAGAATCAGATGACTTCTATTATGATTTAAATTTGAGTTAATGGACATGTTGAATTTTAACTGAGGATCATCAGTTAAAATCTCTGCATTATTTTTTTCTGGAATAAAGGAAAAATATAATCCAACCCACACTGAGCATTATACTATGTTTTTTCCCACATGTCTAACTCTAAAATCCTCTAACATGTCCTTTTCTTCTGCTCTTTTTTATTGAAAGTTATATATTTATTGATAATTTTGTGAGCATGATGCGATGAGTTGACCACTCTACCAACATGTTTCATATGTTTGTGTGCTAACAGATGCTCATGGAAACTTCCATTCCTTCTAACACTCTACTGAAGGTTAAGGAGAAACTGTTGAGGGAAAGAGAACTGGAGATACAAAGGTAATGCAGAACCCACTGAAGTCTCCACTGGCTCACAGCTTTCACCTGCCACCTTTCACCTCGTTTTAACCAAACGGTTTTTCAGGTATCGGTTTATTTTTGATCATTAGTTGAGGTTTCTTCACGTTTTTTGCCCACTATTAAATTGCTTTCCTGTGTCTTGCTCTTCAAGATTTTTTTGTCATAATTTTTAGTATATTAATACATACTGACAACCTTTATATGTTGCTTCAATACATTCAGTGCTCAGTTTTAACATTTCCCCTAACTGAGTAAAACATAGCTGTTATTATTACGTTGTTATGATGTTGCCAAGAAATTGTAATCTAAAACTTTACAATTAAACCATTGATGATAATCTGTTGCTGACACAAAATGATTTTGTGTTTCAGCCAAAAGCAGCAAATTATGCAGCTGCATGTGTGGATCAGAGAGAATGAGCACAGAGCCCAGCAGGTCCTGGGCAGCCAGAGAGGACAGTTTCATACCTCCATAATTCCAAATACTGAGGTGAGGTACGGTGAAGAATCCAAAGTTAGAAATGTGGTTACAAAACTCACAAACAATTCTTGTAATTTAGGAGTCAGCAATGACGACAGCCAGCAAGCTGCAATCTGATAGGCGATGTTGTGATGAAGAACTTAGTAAGAAGTTAGCAGCTGCTGAACTTGAAGTGCTCCATCTGAACCTGTTTTTTAAGCAGGTCACTCTGAAATATACAGAGGAGATCAGAAAACTGGAAGAGAAGGTATGATTCATAATTTATGTAAAATTTTTTATTACTTTAAATTTGACTTGCGCTTATCTCTGCAACCTGACTGATCTGTCAATTTAATTTGTGAACAGATAAAGACAAGAGATCGTTACATCACCAGTCTGAAGAAGAAATACCAGAGAGAGAGTGAGCAGAACCAAGACAAACAACAACGCATTGAGATATTAGAGAAATACCTGTCTGATCTGCCCACATTAAATGAAGTTCAACTCCAGTCCAAACAGGTATAAACACACACACGCAAACAGAACTTCTCATGGGGACCAGGATTTATCCCCACAACACTACAATGCAAACAGAAATAGGTCTCAAAAATGATATAAAAACCTGGTTCGTTCACACACACACACGCACACACACACACCTTCACACACACAGATATGTTTGTCAGGGTATCTTTGTGAGGACTTTCCATTGACTTCTACATTGACCGTTCATTTCTACAGCTTAACGCTTACTGTAACCATAACCAAAACTCAATTCAAACCTTAGTCCTATACCTAACCCCAAACACACAAACTGCATTTTCCTTTGTGGGGCCCAGGCTTCAGTCCCCACATGGAGCAGTGGGTTCCCAGAAAGGCATATGTATCAGGAAAATAGTCCCTACAAGGGATTAAATACATGGCACACACAGCCAATCTGAAGACACTTCATAAGAGAAGCGCTTTGAGACAACATTAGTTGTGAATTGGCACTATATATATATTAACCAAACTAAGTTGAATATAAGGCTATGATGTGATTATAAATGAGTTTATTGAGGTCAGATGGCAACCACAACACACCTGCCTACAATACAGATGTTCTTAACTTCTATATTTAGACCGAAAGAGACTCTTGTAGATCTTTATACAGCTTTACTGACGTTGCATCGTAGCATGTACATGTTTATAACAGTGCACCAATTTCATGAGTCCCTGTGGATATACACCAACACATCAATTCCTATCCACATACTCACAGTACATAAACATTAAGTAACTAGCCTCTGTTTATATGCTCAGCAGAAGAAGTTAGAGGAAAAAAACAGGCGTCTTGAGATTACAGTGTTCCAGTTACAGAAGAGCATAGAAGAGGGATGTGCATTGGTAAAGAAGAAAGATGTCATGATTGAGATGCAGGCCAAGACAGAGAATGAGATGATGACATCTGTACAAAGGTATGGTGTGACATCATAGATAATGTTTTATTTTGCATGTATTTATCTCACTGTCTCACTTTGTTTATTGTGTATTGGGTTTTTCTTTCTTCTTTTTTTCTTTCTTTTTTTTTCAAATTGGACAGGTTGCGTAAAAAAGTGCAGCAGTGTCTGGATGATGGGGCAAGGCTGCCGGTGCAAGATCTAAAAAACCTTTTGGGAGAAAATTCTCAGCTCCTGCAGCAGCAAGACAACAGCAACATGGTAGCATCACATACAACTGCACAGAAATGCTTACGCTAAACAATTAAAAAATATATTAATCCATCACCTTTCCCAGGTATTAAGGATTCAGAAGGATGAAATTGAGAGACTAACTTCACAACTAATGGTAGGGATATTTAAAATTTACATGTTAGATTCATTTATTACTCTTACTCATAACATTATGACTGTTTGTAACATATACCACAGCTCTCCCTTTTCCCCTAAAGCTAGTCCCAGCTTGATAAGTTTGGGATTTCTCTGAGGAATCTGGTGCCAAGCCAGCAAGGTCTAAGTTTGAATGTTTTGAAGTGAGGTGAAGCAGAGAGGTTGTGGTTCATTGTGTCCAGTGATCCTAGTTCAGAATTAGTGGATTTCTACATAAAAATAGTCTCTAAGATGTTTAAGGGCTTATGTGAATGCTATCTTATAACCATTTCAACTACAAAAGGCCATCAGAATTAGTTGGTTTAGTGATCTTCCTGTATGAAACAAAATGTCAGACTTCTTTGTCCCAAACATAGTTTTCATTTGTATTTTCGTTTTTGATAGGCCACTAGTGGAAGACTGCTAAAAAAAAGAGGTGCCGCTCACCCACCAGTGGGTTGTTCTCAGCAAAAGGAGGAGAACTTGGTCAGCATGCTCAGAGCCTTCTCTCAGGTATCACTCTCTGGAACAGGGGTCTCAAACTCCAGTCCTCAAAGGCTGCTGTCCTGCAGTTTTTATGTGCCACAGGTACAAAACACTGGAATGAAGTGTCTTAATTACCTCCTCTTTGTGTAGATCAGGTCTCCACAGACCTGCTAATGACCTAATTATTCTACTCAGGTGGTGCAGCAGAGGCACATCTAATACGCAAAAGTTGCAGTCCTGCAGGGACTGCAACTTTTGCGTATTGGTCAGTGTTAGAAACTTTAGCTTAGCTTAGTCAAACAAGCCAAACCCCGTTTTATGTTCAAAATCATTTCAAAGCTGTTTGACTTAGTCTACAGCAAAGTTTTAGAAAGAGTCTAGAAATTCCAACCTGACCTGGTCCAACCCATAGACATTGTGTCTGAGGCGGATCCAACTGACCTCTGCTGGTTATATTATTGAAAATGTGCCACTGTAACCCAAGTCTGAGCTGACCATGCCACGGCCCGAGTTCTGAGTCTGGCTCGGGCTGTAACTCTAAGCTCTAGTCTACACTGTTCAATCCCTTTTCAAGTGGATTCCCAAGACATGTTTACCCACATGGTCCCCGCCAGCATTCTGGGTTTGCTGCGACAAAATATCTTAATTTTTTCTAAAGACTCAGAACCAAGACTAAGAAATCAAATGCTTGCCTCAGTTCCCATAAGTGACGGGGAGAACAATAGATCAACGGGGATGCAGGTGGCCTAACGCAAGCTTGGGGAGGACAGAATCTACCTGTGATCTTCAGTATGAATATACTTAAGAGCGAGGGGTTCCTCCTTCTAACTGACAAAGTCAAAAGGAGGAATCATTCTTTTACAAATAAGTCCACTGAGACTGAATGCAATACAGTGTAGAGTAAAATGATAACTGATGTGCTTATTCCTTATGATAAAGTTGAAAATAGCACAAATATATATAGTGGCCTGCTAGTTCAAGCTTTGACTCTTTTATTCTGTCACAAAGCAGGACAGGGTAGAACCTGCAGGCCAGCCTTTGGGTGATGGTAGGCTTCTTGATGAGTCCAGGAACAACTAACTTCTAACCTGATCTGCTGATGCAGTACTCCTCTATAGCCTGAAGGGGGCAGTGGCTCCCAACCCTGGACAACGCTCCACTGTGAAATTGCGTTTATTTCCCTCTTGTCATGAAGTCATATGATTAACGTCTGGTTCATTAAACACTGATATTCATGAGATGCTTTGCATCGACCATTTGTGGTTGTTCAGAGGGCAGAATGTAAGGTGGGAGCTTCTGCACAAACTTTTAGATTCAGCTGTTATTCATCAAGTCAAATTTCTTTTTGTTGTGCGTAGTCATGGTTTCGTATATCAGATTTTATTTAATTTTATTTTTTTGCCGTACATAGGGCCAGTCTGCTGAACATGTTCTCTGTTGTCATTGACCCCAGTTATGCTCACACTGAAACATGAATATTTTATTTTCTCTGTTTACCAGGACAAAGACAAGTCAGAAGTGGATGAACTATTCAAAGAGATGTCTTTGTGTCTTCTTGACCTGCAAGGTTTCTGCAGCATCCTGGCCCAAAGAGCGCAGGGAAAAGAGCCCAACCTCTCTCTGCTTCTGGGAATGAAATGTAATGCGCTGAAAACAAACAGTCTTCGCTCACTGCTGAAAGCAGTGAGCGAAGCTCCTGACTGTTTATGTTGAAAAGAAGGAAGAAATGTTGAAAAGTGAAGTACACGGTTGATATGTTTCAATCATATTTCATTCATGTAAAATGAGCAACCAGTTTCCTGTTTCTCGGAGTGTAGACGGTATGGATGTGTTACTGAGATGGTGACCAAATGTCCTCTGCTGCTCTGTTGTGTCCGTCCAGCACTCAGCGTCTCAGCAGAGGAACAGGAGCACCAACTGGCTGGAGGAGAAGAGGAACCGAGCTGTAAGCTGCTCCAAGTCGGCCTACTGAAGAGAGGAATAGATGATCTGAGGAGAACTGTAGCAGAATACTGTCCTCAGTATGTGGCTCCAAGTTGTGCCACGCAGTGAATTCTTAAACATTAGATTCATCGAATCTCTAACGCTATCTCTAACGCTATGCTTGGAAAATGAATCCTACTATCTGTCACAGCTCTGAAGGATTTGGATGTGTCTGAAGTTTTGTAACAACTGTTGCCTCTAATCCACTTCAGACCAGAGGCATGGCACTCAATGCGAGCTGAGCAACACCATCCATTGCTCTACTCCTCTGACATATGGGATCTGATGCAGTTAATAAAATGTTGAGAATGGTGACACTAACTTGGCTTGGAAATTAGGATATTACTTACGGTTATATAAGAATAAAATTCAAAGTCCAAGCAGAACTTTCTACCTGTTCATACTATGGATAGTCATATTACATCCACTCAAAATTTGCGAAGTGGTGTCCTTCCTGCTGCAGAACATGGCTCACTATGGAAGATACGCTGCAGGTTAGTAACAGCAGTGGGTCGATTTGGTCTCAGACTTGGTTCTGGTGCTGCTCACCACAAGGCCCACTTCACTAAACTGTTTTTATAAAATAAACCATCAAACATCCAAGTTTACATTAAAATATGTACAGAAATTTTGTGTGTGTGCCTTTTTGGGGAGTTTAGTTACTGTTTGTCTTTTTTCCAACTTCAAAATGCTTTTAATAAAAAAGACTGAAACTTGAAAAAATACAAATATTAATGAAACAGAAATGAATAATGATAATGAAAGTCAGGATTATTTGTAGAGGACATTTCAGCAAAAACATTACATTGCATTGAAAACATACCGTAAAGAGAAGCAATAAAAAGTAGTAATATAGATTACAAGTTAGAAGCAGCCACAAATAAATGGGTTTAAAGAAACTTGGTGTTTCAGAAATTTTGTCTTCTGGACATTTGTTCTAGATTAGAGGAACGTAAAAACTGAATGCTCCACTTGTGGTTTTGGTTCTGGGGATGCAGAAGACCTGAGAGGTCTGGAAGGTTGATAAAGCAGACCTTAATTATATTTTGGTGTCAAGCTAAAACCAACTAGAGTATCTTGACATTATTCTGTCAGCTACCAGGAGCCAGTCCGAGACCTTTAGAACTGGGTGACGAGCTTCATTTTCCTGGATTTAATGAAAACATTGTAAAGTTCATCATGATCATCAACTGACAGCTGTTAAACCTTGTGCAACTTTCGACAGATGTGCAGCAGTCTGGTACGTTTAATAACTCAGTGCTGTCTGTCAGAGGTTTAAAAGCACCACAGGAAAGTCTGACAATATTCAGAGCATAAATTAAATTACAGAAAGTTGTTTTCCAAAAACACATGCAGTATTTATCACAATGCTCTGCACCACTCTACACCAAAACATTAAATCAGTCAAATTTTCAAATTCGACAATTTTATTTAACGATTCAGTTGAACTGCAGTTCAAAAGTACAATCCAATACTCATCAGTTAAATTTAAGTAACTCACTTATTACTTTTGTCGGTTTCACGTCATTTCAGTGACCACTGTGTTCTTTCTGAACATTGATAGGGAGTTAGAAACTTTTTTCTTTTGTGTAGTACTTTAATATTTATTAAAGACCTTTGAATAACTTGAATACTTAAATTATTAAAGACCATTTAATCATTTAGATGTTTCTTAAATGATTAAAGAGCATCTTGAAGAATTAATGAACTAAGTCCAAAGAGGTTAAACTGACAAAACCATAATGAGGTTCAGGAAAGAGTTATGACAAATAAATGGTTTATTCAAGTTCAAAAACAAGCAGGTGGATAATAAACGATTCAGTTGAATACATTGAATGCAGAGGTGGAAGCCTGGAAAAACTGGTGCAGTCAAACCTCCCGGTCATACTGGGAGGTGTTCCCACATAACCAATGGTTTTAAAAAGAACGAGGAAATGCAACAGCTTTAAAGAGCACATACACCAAATATCAGTAAATAAACAGGATTGTCTATTCATAACAGAGATGGGTACAGTAGTCTCCTCTAAACATATTTAGAACATGTGATACTGTTGGCAATGACAACCCTGACCTACGCCTGTTCAACTACCAACTAAGTATGTCAGGACAAGGATCCATTCATTTTTATGGACTTTCAGGGATAGCAGTGCTTGAAAAAGGTATCATGCTGTTTTTGAAATTATCTGGTTAAAAACAAACCTCAAGAACAAAAAAAATCAAATCAAAAGTAACATCAGCAACCTGAAAAGGGTCAGTTGTTAGCCTAAGAGCTAAGGAAGGACAACGTGGGTCACCAAATAGCACATTGCATCTTAATCTTCTGATTACACAAATAGGAGTTTACACATTGAAACATAGCTATAGTCACTGTTAAAAAAGAAAAAAAACACAGACCCTGTCTAAAATATGACGCCTAAATGAGTTCATTGTGAAAGGTGTCCTACGTTTCTAACTCACTTATTTTTCTTTCAGAATCTTTTCCTGAAAAGACTTCCATATTTAAAAGACCAGATAATGAACCAACACACACCGTCTCACCAGGCAGAAGTTCTAAAGCATTTTATCAATAAAGAGATGAAATTATTCCACTTCAATGTCAACGTGCATATTCTCAGCATATTCCTGTCAGCTCCCATTGCTCAACACATTCTCAAATTTCCCCAGTCCTTTTTACATGGCATCAAACTTTCACATAAAATTCACTGAGATCAAGTGCCACAAGCCACGAACTGCACTTCATCTGGAGCAAAAGAGAAAAATGGAAAAATGGACAGTAAAAGTCGGTTTCCCCAAGTTTCTCAGATTATCACTGTTCTTGTTACAGTTCTTGTCCAAAAATCCCAGAGGTCAATTTGGTATTTTATGAAGAGTAATCAGTGTCGGATGGCTTTGATGGAGTTTCCTGTGGATTTTTCTGAGAGGGGATCCCAGGGTTCCCGTTCTCCGGTCCATTGTTCAGTGTCATCTTCTCCAGAGCTGCAGAATTGAGAAAAAAGATTCATGAAGAACTAAAAATACTTAATCTGACTGAATTAAAAATGTTACCTCCTCATAATTCAAAAATAATTCAATACTTTGGGACAAACATGCTGCTGTTTATTCTACAGACGACCTCTCTTCACAGAAAACCTGAAGACATGTCAAGGAACTGGCAGTTAAAGCTATGTCTCTCAACATGTGAATGAAACCAGCAGAAAAAAAAACATTGAGCTGAAATTTCAGGAAAAGGAATCTGAGCCTATATAAGCTCTGACCCAAAGCTATCTTTGTTTTGTGGAAGACGTGGAAGCAGCTGGTGAGAGCTCACACCTGGTTCAACAAGAAACGTCTCCTCTTCATCTATTACATTGTTGTCTGACTAAAGATTAATGTTAATTTCTTATTTTTTGTTAGCTGTATCAACGTAAATACTGATTCATATAATGTGTTGACCTTTTCTTCCTTAAGGGAACCGAGGTTTCATGTAATGCACTTTAATAATTCAGCTGGTTGAGATAATTGTGTTCCTCAATTTTTTTTCTAACAGATCAGTCATGATGGAGAGCATGTATTCTGTTAAAGTTTCTACTTTATTCATCCCATTTATATAAGGATGAATAAAGTATCCATTGACTTTCTACATGTGTGCTTTCAAAAGTAAAGACATTTTTACACTAAATTGGTTCAAAGATTACTAGTACATGTAAGAAAATTAAAGTTGCATTAACTATTTAAATTTGAATACTTTAACAGCTATTTGAATGTCTTGGCTCCATTTTCACAATCAGACACATTGGACTTTAGCATTTGATTAATTTATTTTCACTTCTATCAGGAAAACATTGGAACCTCGGCAGGACTTGTCACTGCTCCATGAACAGATTTCATGTGAATTATACAATGTCTCAGGAGGTTTTTAGTGTTTCCATTTCACACAAATCAGACTTGGGGGTTGGGGTGACGACTTCTTTTCTAATTTAGCCAAACACTGTCCTGAACTCACTTTTTCTTTACAGTGTATTTGAAAAAGAGATTTCTTTCACCCTGAAGTGATGCTGAGCTGTTGCCTGGCGGCGCTGTTGTGCTGTTGTCCTCCAGTTCATCCAAGTAGAGTCGGTATCGGTGGCCACTGTCATCTTCATACTCCACATTCTCATCATCACTGTCCACTTCTGGAGCCACGTATACAACCTCGAACTCAATTTGTCCTCGCTGCCACAAACACCCATAGTGAGCATATTAAGACAAATAAGCTGTTCATAAAGAAGTAACTATTTAACCCTTTGTGCCTTCTGGTCTTCTTTAAAGCAGCATCAATACAGTCAGAGAAATCCAGACTAACAGAGGTGCTACCTGCTGGGACAGAATGGTGACGGCTTCCTTGTGTTTTGCGTCTCGCAGGTTGATGCTGTTGACAGCCAGGATGGCGTCTCCAACATGCAGACCTCCACATCTGTCTGCAGGCTGGTTAGGATGGATCTCTGAAATCAGAATGGGAACGCCATGCTCCTTCCCACCCTGAAGAACAGACACATGACATCATGTCCTCACCAAACAATAAGGTATTTATTTTGGCATAAATTGAGTCACTTCAGATTCTTCTGTTTACAAGAAACGTTAAGCAACTCTATTCAGACATATCTCTTGTTCCAAACAGTTAGTGTAATAATTTTTTTTTTTTTTTCAGTTTTGTATGCATTGTTATGCTGACTTTTTTCTGAGGGCTGTCAGAGGAGATTGGGGTAAAAGTATCCCTTTGTCTTAGGTCATGTTAATATGTGTATAGTATCATAAATAAAGTTTTTTTTTAACTAGCCACAGTCATTGGTTGGAATCCCGGCCTGGTGAAAACCAGCTCCTTGTTCTTCAGATGTTGAGAAACGATTCCTTGCTGGAGGTGTGGACTGTGTTGAAGGTTTTTTATTTTACCCAAGTGATAAAGTTTGTAAAATTGGGCAAAATAGGAGTTTGTTCCTGCTTAAGGAAGAAAACGTTCTATTTACTGTGATGGAGATTCCTAGGCCTTCGTGATCCTCCTTCAGAAGCACCACCTTTCTAATGGGACCCACTCCCTGGGTTTTCTTCAGCATGTCAGGTTCCTGTTGTACAAAAAAATATTAACATTCAAATTTTTTATAGAAAGGACAAGTGCAAGCATTTCAGCCTGTGTGAGTTTAAACATACGTGTCCCACAGGAGAGGGAAGAGACTTCTTTGGGTCGCTGCGGCCTCGGCACGCACGGATGACTGTTTTATGGCGGTGGAGGTGAATCTCTGCCTCCAGCTGGTTCCACAGCTTGTCATGGGCCGGTCCTTTCATGTCACGACCAAGTAACTGGATCTGCTGCACCCTGCAAGAGTGATCATCATCATCTACTGTCATCTGTTAGGATATGCTTCTCAGCTGTAATTTTTAACTGGACAACTTCAGATTAATTTGGTGTTATATGAAAAGAGACGCATCAAATCTCAGTCATTGTACAAATTTCAGTTCGCACAATGATGCAAACGGACTGCTTGGATGTAACATTTAATAGGCTTCAACACTTCACTGTTACCAACTGATTGTTGTTTCACTGACCATCACATCGTTCCAAAACCTGCTGAGTCTCACCCTGATGACCTGACTACTAACAAACCACATTCATAC